ACTGAGTTGGGTTTCCTTTCACAAACAAGTCCAACCTTCTCCATCCTGCAGTGTTTACTGCTCCGTCACAGTAATACTACACGGCCACTGCAGACCACGTCCTTATCTGAGACACTGCTGTTTGTTTAGGTGCTTGTCATAGAAGAGGGATTTTGGCTCAGGTTCACGTTCATTAAACGCCGAGTCTGCTATTCATTAGGCACTGCTGCCATCTAGTGAAAACATTTTAATAACACATCCAAAAGCCAGAGCTGAAAATGAATAAATGCTGCCTTCTCGTGCTGAAGGAGGGTCAATGTTGATTTAGCTACATAATTCTTTTTTTTTTAAACATTTACACCTCGTCACCTACTATCAGTGTTGCTGTAATAATAATACTTAAAGTAACAACAACGTCGAAAAACTTAAACACACCAAATAATTCAAATGGCTTCTAAAAATACTGCATCTACGTGGAACTGCAGCTGGCAATGACAAATAGCTTCTACTATGAACACAAAGTCACTATATAAAAGCCACTATAAAAACATATAATCAACAAAAAATAAGATTCAACAATATCAAATCAGTCATTTTACGCAACTTTGTTTTTATACAGCGTATATCGCTGAGTAAATCTTTGTAAGATTGTTTTTTCCTTCAGTTACTTTAAACTCTAAAAATCATCATCAGAGGTTGTTGTTGTTTGTATTGTTTTTATTGTGTTACATCGATTTATTTCTGTCAACAAAACATTTTAAAATTAAAAGTTTTTTAATAATGGCACTTTTAAATAATGTGTTTTAATTAGTAAAAAGAAGAAGAAGAAATTACTTTCAAAAAACCACTTCTATTGCTCTTTCTACTGCATATATACGGTACTGTTGTGTCCAGTAGAAGGCAGAGCAGACAACAAGCCACATAAACGATGTCTTTTATGCGAAACCAGAGAAGCACCTCTTAAAGGGAGTCACTTCCAATCAGAGAACCTCCATTTAATTACCACATGCAGGAAATGACTGAGTGAATGGCTCAGGTGGTGATAAGCAGCTCAGCCCTGGGAATGACAGCTCCAGAAACCTGAGGAGCAACAGCCTGAGTGCTGACTTCAGCCTGGAAGCCTGATCATCTGATTGTACTGTCATCCACAGTCATAATTAATATATTTATCAAAATAATTGCTGAAAAGAGCCCCGGGCTCCTGAACACTGGGGGGGGATTCATTTGCCAGTGGTTCAGCTTACAGCTAATAACTGTGTTGTCAGTGAAACAGGCCGGTCCTCATGACAGACTAATAGCTCATCTGTGTAGAGAGAAAAAATGTCATTGTTTGGTGACAACCACAACTGCACCTTTGTTCCAACCAAGGTGGAGGGACATGGAAGAGACAGTGTCTCGGTGAGGGGCCGCTAAAAATACCTGCTGTACTTGTGGTACTACAAACCAGTCATCAAAGAACATGTGTCTGCCACTGTTATATGACATGCAAATAAAGAGTACTCTTAAGTACTTCAAGGCCGGCCGGGATGTATGTAATCTTACGGAGCCCCTAAAGGGACATGGGAGAATAATAACGATGTCTATTACATACTTGAAAAGATCATAGTTGTTAAATACATTATAATCCAAATATATTTTAATATAAATTCAGTATTGTACAACCTAAATTTACACGTTTACAGAGCCCGAAATCAACATGGCTAAGCTTGGATGATATAGTAGTATCCAGAGACGACAATGATTACTTGCTTCAACCACGAACTCAAAGGCTGTGAGAGTAACTCACACCATCTTGTTTACTCTGTACTAATGTTGTTTTGACATGTTGTTCTCAGTAGTACTTATGGCCTTGTTGTATGTCTTTGTTTTGCTGCTGTTCGCAGAGATTTCAGCCCACAGAAAGTGCTCGGCAGGTTCAGCTGTGGAGGCTGAATGCAGCCACTCTTCACTGCTCACCCCTGAACCAGCCGGGGAGCAGAGGATCCTCAGTGAGGCCAGCCGTGCATCACTTCGCTTAGCCAAAGGGCTCTCTGGCTGTAATTGCTGCCTATTACTATGAAGAGATCAGCCCTATTTTCACACAGGATGAAATGGCGTCGAGGCCTCCTCTTTCATCCCTGATAATTGAACAATTAAACTTTAGCACACAAATTACCTCTTCATATGGCATGGCTAATTATCGCGGCAGACCGGCTGAAAAGAGGGTTCTTCAGGGTTACTGCTAAAAATGTTTTTCACACTTTTCCACATCATCAGTGTCTGTTTCAACAGTAAAACAGGAAATAAAGGATTCCTTTTTTCCATCACCATCGCATGTATTTCTGCCAACCTCTGTTTTTTCCAGGTGAAATTGTTCTAATTGTGCAGGTGACTGAGAGCGACGACTACTTGGAGAGCATTTTCCAGAGGTCATCCAGATGCTGACCCCAATTTAACATCACGATTAGACGGGATTTAAATCACACTCTTTGATTGGGGCAGTTAAGCTCTTTATACTCTTCACTCTCACATGCAAATCCTCTCCCAGATGCGTGGACAAAACCCTTTGAGACCATATGGAGAATTCTCTTGCATTAATTATTCAAAGGAAATGAGCAGAAATTAGTGAGCAGGGAGTGCGGCATGTCATGCCACCATTACTTCTGCAAATGAGATATTTGATCTGAATGATTGTAAATTAATTTTTCACATTGCAGAAAGTGATCAGTGTGAAATATTAGCCCTTTGAACTAAATGCTGAATTTCCACTGCTTGTACATGGGATTTTGGGTGAATGTGATTAATACCATTACCATTCTGGAGATCAGCCTCCTTTCTTCCTAGTGAGGTCACTTTTCCTCACACAATAGTACATAATAGCAGATCACCCTGGCAGGAAGGAGCCCTGATGCCTCATACTACATTGGAGGGGACCAAAGAGAACCCTCAGCTGACTCCTCAAACCCACACAGTGGAGCCCTCTCAGGGTATTTGGTGAAAATGACATTAAGCCTGACAATGGTTGATGCAAAGCTTCAGGAAGCACTTGATGAATGCAGTGGACTAGAAGAGAGTCTGTAATTCAGATCATGACAAAAGGCTGAAGGCAAACCTCGTGGGTCTCATCAACAATGGATACTTCATTCTTTATACACATAAACCACCCTTAATTTCACAATCTGCTAAGTCTGCTTATACAATATACAGAATATTTGTATTGAATATCTGCTCATCAGAACATCTCACTACTTCTCCAATTATTACTTACAGTGCTATGTGGCATGAGATGCATTACTGCCACCTATTGGCTCTTTTTCCAATAAATATAGAGAATAAAAATGATTGATAAACACAGTACTGCTGTATATACTTCCTGTGATTCTTGCAAGATTTTTTGTGATTTTGTGTTTAAATGAAACTAAATACTGCATTTTTTTCACAGGCTTGGACAAAGTCATTATATGTACTATTTTTAACAGCAGCTTTTAGCTTCAGCGACAGATGTTTCAGTATACCTTCTTATTTAAGGCCTAACCAACTGCTCGTCAGTCTGCAATTCAACCAATCACACAAAACAATGGGTCTTATATTTGACCCCAGTGGACCTTAATGAAAGGTCAGGAATTTCAACTCCAACAATGAAGACCAAATGACAACAGGCCAGAAATCTTGAATATGCTGTATATATAACAAACTAGGTCATTTGAAAGTTCCAACAGGTGTCGATAATATGTGCTGATTCGTCGTGGCAACAGATGAAAGTGAATGAGAAATGCGTCACGAGCCGGCGATCGTAGCCATTATTACATTATTACAGTGCACAATGAGGCTTTTGTTCCTGGAACCCAGTGGCAGTTCAGTCAGTATTGCCTCTGTTTTAATTTAATATCTATTTATTTGACTCCATTGTAGGGGTTTTATTGAGGTTGCGCCTGCTTTATCGGCCCGATCTAAACCAGAAGTGAAGGTCAGGAGGGGCAGAGTGCCTCTGTTTATTGGCTTCCATTGAGCCCATATGAGCTGATTTGGCTATCTGCTGCTGATATTAAGCTCTTTCACAGTATTTTCCCTCAGTCCGGATATTGTTTATCACCACATTGACATTTTCAATGTGTACTTACTGCTGAATTAAATATTCTTTGTCACTTTTCTAATATCCTCCCTGCAGGCTCACGCAGGATGTGAGAGTCCTGTTGAATGTGCATGAAGACCCTCAGTAGATTACCGACGAGCGGAGAAAAAGAAAGATAATATATGTTTCATCGGTGTCATCTGATATAGCGTATATGAAATGTCAGATTTCATATTTTTCCTTCCAGTCAAGGCAAGGTTAAAACAATCCACATGACTGTTGACTATTTGTTTAGTTACAGATATTTACTAAAAATTCACAGGTCTGTACTGACCCAAAAAATAAATAAATAAAATCATTTTATTTATTTATTTATTTTTTGGTGAGTACAGACCTGTGAATTTTACATTCACAGATAATATATGTTTGTATAATACATTATATTATCTATTATATCTATATCCAGGAATGTCCTAATATAATATATTGATATGTTCAATATTACACCTACTGCACCAGTTAGCCCATATTATATATATATGTATATATATACGTATATATATATAATGTAGTAAATACATATTTGTATATATATAAAATTATATATTATATTAAGTATAATTTGATTTTTTATATATGTGTATATACAGTATATGTGTGTGTGTGTGTGTATGTATATATATATATATATATATATATATATATATATATATACAGTAAATATATAACAACAGCTGGACAGTGCAGTAATTCGCTCCTTGAACGCATCACGCAAAAAAACAAAACAACACAGCAGCAAGACCACACTGAGGTGACGTCAGCTGACGTCAAGTCAAAGCAGGCCGAAATGTGATACTGCGGCTGGTGCACGTGGTCTGTTGTTTACTTCTAGGAAAGCTGGAAGTGGTACAGGAGAAGGGAAAAGGAGGAGGCCAGAAGGGGGAGGAGGAGGAGGTCACATTGTGAAACAGTGTGCCTTCATGGAGCGACGTTACTCAGCATTTGGAAAAAGCCTCTCAGCGAGTCATTAAAGCCAGGATCGAATCCAAGTGATATTTCCCTCTTTGTTGATTTTTTTTTCTTTTTTGTCTGCACTTCAAACATCGCGAGGCCTTCACGGTACGTCGTTTTCCAGAGTGAGAGACTCTCGGTCTGTGCTCTTTGTTCTCAAGTTCAGATTCTAGTGCGTGGCTGTTGTAAACAGAGTAGTTCAGGGAGAATGTGTCTGTTCCAAAGCAGACAGCAGACTGGAATTTGGACGAAAACGCTTAATACCATTGTTTTCCTCAGTGATTGTGTTTGTTCTTCCTTTCTTAGCTTATGTTAAAAATCATTGTTTTGGTTCTTTTTTGTTTGTTTGTTTGTTTTTTCTGTAGGTATAAGGGCTAGAATGCTTCAGCTTGGAAGCCTGTTCAGCCACTTTCAACTCAGCTCCAAAGCTCCAGAGAACACACAAGGCCAGAGGCAGCCTCACACACAAACACTGCCAGAATTTGTGAAGCATCTCAGGTATTTGCACTTAAAGTTGTGCAGATAAATCATCTTATCTATCTATCTATCTATCTATCTATCTATCTATCTATCTATCTATCTATCTATCTATCTATCTATCTATCTATCTATCTATCTATCTATCTTTTGTTTAAAGCTGAGTTTCTCAAAAAGTGGGTCACGGTATGAAAGTGGGTCAAAAAGATACATTTGCGGGTCAGGTAATGGGTAACATGGGGAATAGTTTGGTCTAGTTGGACAGGACACCCCTGCTCCTCTAATGTGCAGTCAAACCAAATGCAAATAATGATAATATTGGGGGGGAAGAGTTATGTTATGTATTACTTTGTCTGAATTTATAATAGCTTTGTCAATAAAACACGATTTTACTATCACTTCTATCAATGATCTATCAGCACCACCCCCCGCCCACCACAACATGTATTTACAGTTTTCATACCCATCCATCTCTCGTAGGAAACTGACTGGGCTGCGACAGGAGGATGTTTACTGTAACCTACGAATCCCCGACCAGCAGAAGATTGCCAAAGATGACATCAACATTGTTATTCTGACAGGTTGGAATCTTATGAAGTGATTTAGAACAATTATTCACTATAGTGTTGGAATTAATACATCTGTACATCATAAGTCAAAAAAATATTTTTTTTATATTTTCCTTAAATGTGGCTTCTTTTTTTTTTTTTTTCTTTCGTAGGCCACGGCATTTTCTGCATCGATGTAAAGGCCTGGAGAGGTGCTGTGTCTGCTCACAACCAGGCCACCTGGCATGTTCAAGTAAAAGAAGAAAACCAAAATTTTACCAACACTTACATTGAGCAGACTGAAGATCCCCTCAGAGCCATCATGGTAAAATAATAATAATAATAATAATAATGAATAAAAGAACACCCACCAAAACAACCGTGCTACAACATTAAATGTCAACCTCCTAAACTGTGGCAGTGTTAAGAGCTCATGGACGACCAGAAAAACCTTCTATGGACACTTCCCAACATGACAGTGCGAGGCCTAAACTCCTGGAGTGGGTCCTCCTCAGGACCATCATTATGTTGGTGGTGGGGGGGGTTAAAGCAGACAGCTGCCAAAACACAGCTGTCGGCTCACGGGCCTGGGTCTGTGTAGGGTCTTTCATTAACATCTCTATAGATGTCCAGTGTGGGCTGGGGCAGGACAGACAAGTGTGACGGCAAACACACAATTTACTGTTCAAAAGGGTTGTTATTATTAGTATGTACAAAGGTGATGGAACGTCACTCATGTGCAGACTGTTAGCAATGATCCTGATCCCTCTTTGCTATTAACATTATTTTCTCATCTTTATTTTTTTTTATCTGTCTTTGTTTTCTAATTTCAAAGATTCAAAGATTTTCCCCTCAGGATTCTGATCTAATTTGGGGTGTGATTCTCTCTGACCTGTCTCCTCGTCCGTCTCCAGGTCAAGGCAAACTACCTGTGCAGCTACCTGAAGAGAAGTGGAGTGTCCGTGCGCCAAAGTCTGTTTTCCTACAGGGTGATCTTCCTCTCCCCAGACTGTGAGCTGGACGAGGAGCTGAGGAAGAGGAGGGAGCTGATCTCACACAGTCGGATAGACGACTTTCTCACATCTTTCAGGGAGGGCTACGTGGCCTGGCTATCAGCCGCTCTGACTCCCTCCTGGTTCTCTGGTGAGAGAGTCCAAAATTGAAATGTAACAATTTAACAATCTATCATTGATATTTAGATGTATTTACACCATTTTAGTTTTTTGCACAATAATAACAAGTCACATATTTTTACTGTTCAACTGTCCACATGATTTACCATTTAAATGATTTTAAATGTGATTTTTATTATTTTTGTGATTTTTAGTATTTTTGTGATTTTTAGTATTTTTGTGATTTTTAGTATTTTTGTGATTTTTAGTATTTTTGTGATTTTTAGTATTTTTGTGATTTTTAGTATTTTTGTGATTTTTAGTATTTTTGTGATTTTTAGTATTTTTGTGATTTTTAGTATTTTATCAAAATACTATTTTCTCTCATTATTTTACAATGGATTTCATTAGGAACAAGTCCCAGACAGTAACTCAGTCTCCGTCTGTCCTACAGGTCATCTGTCCTACAGACAGATGGAGTCGGTGCGAGAGATCCTCAGGACTGTTGGGACCTGGGACCTGGTTCGGCTGCACTGTGGTGAGCAGCTGAAGGGAGACTACCAGGGCTGCCAGTATATCGCTTTAAACCGTAGGGAGACAGACACCCTGGAGTTCTCCAGAGTCAAGGTCCTGTCGGCCGACTCGCTGTGGGCCCTGCTGGGACACGCTCCTCAGGTGAGTCCACAACACTGCGTGTGCAGTAGTTTACTCCCAGGACCAGGTACGGTCTGGAAACTCGCTGCACATATTAAACGCATAAAGGCCCACATTGGCCAGATGACCAGCAGGTGGCAGTAGTATATTGTTATGTTTTCCTTGTACTTGAGAAAACTCTTATAAAAGCAGGTTGTATTTAAACTGCAGAATAATAACGGGTGTGAGTCATTGAGAAGATTAATGGTATATTTGTGTCAATTTTAACAGTGCAGCGTTGAATAAAATCAGTTATTCAAAGGAGCCTTTTTACTACATGAAAAGAGTTATTGTTATTAGTCATTTTAAATTATTCCCAATAAATATGTTTTATTTTCAACAATACATTGACAAAGCCCCACCTTGACTCCGGTGTTCTCTCTACATTCACACATCCAACATAATTGCAGCTTTAGGTCGTTAGTGTTTAACTTCTCTATTCATTCTGCCTGCAGGGCACTCATCATCTTATGATTAAATTAAAAATGTCATTAGCGTCACCTGAGCCTCTTGGCCTGCTTTGATTGGTTGATACTTTTAGATTAATTTTTTCACTACTGTCACTGTAAAGAAAAAAAACATAGGATTATAGAGGTCAAACTGAATATTTGAATGGAGGAACATGTACATTTATATTTCCACGGAGTGATACATCGACTAACATGATTGAATAAGGCTTTAAAAAAAGACTTACAGTATACAGCTGAATCTATCCGACCGCCTCCAAAAAAAAAAAAAAAAAAAAATCCCACCATTCAAAAAAATGTGTTCAACTAATGACATCTAGTCAAAGGTCAGACGTGTGTGACCCCTGCTTAGTAACCATTACAGATTCACACCCAAACACTCAGCTCGGGCTTTCCTCACTCCTCCACTCCAGTCTGGCTTCATTTCACCCCCATCCCCAGCAACACCCACCCACCCCCCCTCCCTGGACCGTATGTATTCTCCCCTCTCGCCTCCAGCTGCTGTACATTTGATACATGACCCAACAATCGTTAGACGGTCTTCAGCTCAGGCCCTCTCTGTAGCCCGAGGGGACACACACGATGACAACAAAATCTATTCTTTTCAAAGAAATCCTTATAAATGGAGGCAGTGTTTGGTACAAGTCTGCTACGATTTTCGCAAAGATATGACTTGGAAAATAGATCCTAACATCCTGTTTTTTTCTTTGTTGTCAGACAGATTTAACACCATTTTAATGTGTTTTCCATGAGTGGATCTCATGTATACTGCTTCAGAAAATTAATTTTCAATGTCAGTCAGTTTTTGTTTCTAGAATTCCCTGCTTTAAACCTTGGGATGGACCATTTTGTTAACCTTAGTTTTTGTATAGCAGCTGTGAGGGGAGGTCTCGGGGGGCTGACAGAGGAACCTGAGAGCCCCTCTGGGCATATTTACAGAGCTAAGAAGTAATGCAGGCTTTTTGATTTGTTACTTGTAAACACACGGGCTGTAAAGATGAGAGATATGTTTAACTCTATTTGCTGCTCAGAAGAAGCGGCAACAGATGTACGTAGAAAAGCCGTGGACGGAGGTGCTAAAGGTGTGTCCTCTGTGGGCTCAGCCAAGTACTCTACAGTGAATGGGACGTCGAGACGTCCCCGAAGTAGACGATGATTGAATAGAGAGGCTGTCATTTATTAATTATGGTCTATATTCTTAGACCACAGTTCTGGCTTCATTCAATTTGTATGGATTAAGGGGGTAATTACTGTGTGGCTGCGCATGTGTGTGTGTGTGTGTGTGTGTGCGAGCTAGAAGAGGGGAGAGAAAGGGCAGAGACCCCTAAATTCTCATCATTTAAAGTACAGGGTTTTAGTTTTGCTGGAAAAATCTCTGCGTGAGTTCCTTCTCTAAAACGTTCTTTTTTTTCCACTGAACACTTTGTTCCTTTTAAATAATTGTGTTTACTCTGCTGCTGTGATGTGTGCATTTCCCCTGGGTGTAACAAGGCCTTATCTTATCTCTTATCTTATTGCCTAATATGGCTAGTTTGTTTCGAGGTATTTTGTTTAAGTACTTATTTTGTATAAAGTCATATTTCGCGAGGGCCCTCCAGATTTTCTCATTAACTCTAATACAAGTTATGGGAGTTCACATCTGAGACACAGGTTCATTAAGACTGTAGTATCAAAGAAAGGATCGTCAACAGGTGTACTCTTTAGCCTGTAACTGATGACATCGGCCTATTAGCTGACCAATAAAAGAAAAGCCACAGATTGGCCATTACTGCAGACAAATAGTCATTTGCAGTATTTCCATGTCACCCTGGAGTGAGCAGCTCCAGATTCCACAGAGACGTGGCTCGTTAATTTACCTCCGGGCTCACATTCCTGCCCGTTTGGCCGCTGCCCAGGCTGCACGTGTCGCCGGCCTGTTAATGGTCAGGCTGGTGCCCTGTGCACTCTGCAGAGAAAAGGCAGAGAGGGGAGACATCAAGGCTTTGTGGTGTTAATGAATGGAGGCGTACAAAAGGCCTGCAGCCAGGAACTGACAAACGCCTGAGGAGACAAGATTTGTTTCCCCTATTTTTATGAAGAGAAGAAAATTATCATTTTCTTTATTGATAAAAAAACAAACATTCTTCACTATTTTTTGGAATTTGCAATTACATTTTTTTTCTTTGTTTGAGTAATTTTACACACAAGAATGTTTTCTGCTGCTCTGCTAATGACAGCAGAGGGAAAAACAACTGCTGGGACATCACCAGGATGTTCAGATTTCTGTAATTGCAGCATCGCCCTCGAAAAAGAAAACGAGAAATAATTTGCAGCAGAGAGAGTGTGCGTGTGTGTAGGAAGCGTCAGCGGGAAGGTAGCTGTGCAATTACATACGAGAAGAGTGCTGCAGCATCACAAGTGTGTGTAATGAACTAGTGAAGACACCAGCACTCACGGCCGATGGACAGCCATGACAAAAACCTGCCTTGTAATAGCGCGTGATTAAACTTGGTAAAAATCTATTTTTTTTCCTCCCCCACTCGAGTGCTGAACTGCACTGAAGAGTCCTGTGGAGAGATTCTGCATCTGTCAGTTTGAAGATGACTCAATGTGCTTCCTCCAAATCCATCACCTGGCCTGCAGTAGCAGTCAGATTGGAGGGCTCTTCAGGAGCTCTTCTGTTAATTCAGTTAAACACCGACGGCTGGGGTCCATGTTTTGCACATACGACTACTTAACACGGTTAGAAAATGACTTTGAGTAAATTTGAATACATGTTTGAAATAAAGACATTAATATTCATGACATTATAATTTCTTTGAATATGGAATGAGCTGTGGTTTCTGTAATATCTGCGACAATAATAACAATATTGTATGGGTCTGAACAACTGTGCACTTGATGTGAAGTCATTCTTAGGTTCTGCATATTTTTGCATCATATTCTTATGCACCACGTTCAAACTAAAGTATCGGAAAATTCTTTAGGATTCCTCTGGTGCTTTTGTGTGTAGCTTGCTCAGGCTGACATTATTTGGTTCTGTATAAAGAGAATGAAATGTATTCCATAAAAACAAGATATAGATAGATAGATAGATAGATAGATAGATAGATAGATAGATAGATAGATAGATAGATAGATAGATAGATAGATAACTAGATAGATAGATAGATAGATAGATAGATAGATAGATAGATAGATAGATAGATAGATAGATAGATAGATCCATAGGATAACATAACATATATAATCTAATAATAGTGCAGCTCTTATGATATGAATAAATCCAAAACAAGTGACAAAACTATTAAATATTTTTAACTCCTGATCAGCCTCAATCAGACAATTTAACACCAGATTATGAATTTAGTGTCCATCATAAACTGCTTTTTTTTTTTGCTTAATGGTCAGAATGTTAATTTTATCTGTGTGTGTTTTGGGGACCAGGATATTACAGTGATCCCAGCAGTGTGGGCTGTACGATATGATCAGTAGAGATTCATGAATAATGAAGAGGCCGATTGGAGCAGAGTCACTTCATTACGCTTTCAAAGGCCATTCCTATTAATTGAGGAGAATAATAGTGGACTGGATGACCATGTTAATTTTTGCAGTCTTCCACGTTCTACGCCCCCCCCCCTTCGTGTCATCTCAACAAGAAAAAGTGATTTCCCTGAGCTGGGCTTTTAAATTCAGACTTTATTTTGTCTGCAGAGTCCATTTCCTCAGACCACCTGTGAGCACACTGTCGGTCTTTTAATGCTAATGCTAATCGTACGGTACATGTCCAGACAGTGTGTGTGTGCAGCAGATACAGTATATAATTGACAGCCCTGCCATCTGTTACAGTTAGGTAGAATTATGGGTAAACTAGTTAACAGACACTTTGGCCCATTGTCTGTTGTTTTGATAATCACCCTTAATAAGGCACGGCATCAATATGGTCTTTAAACCTGATTTGGGAGTTAATGGAGTCAGATGGGGACGGTCAGTGTGTGCTCTGGGGCTAATGCTGTTAGAGATGTTGGTAAAGGTCTAATTAAATCAGTCATAAATTGTGTCCTCTCAAGTCGGCCAGACGACCAGGCCCAGGGATTAGAGAAGGGAGGGGGCGGGCTGGGGTGAGGGTCATATTTTAACCTCTCGCAGAAAATGTATTTATGTGGATGAAAATGAAGTCAGTGCAGGGTGAATGGATGTAAACGGTGATTGCCGACAGTCCTAATGGCTTCCTGTTAGCCTAGGCACAGATGAAGCTATTCAGAACTTAACGGTCGATTTTTCCTGCATTCAAGCCAATAGACCAATGAAGTTATGAATATGGACGATCACGTCCACAGAAGTGAAGCTCAGGCATCCTAATGGGGACTCTATAGTCTATAGACTGTTGCAGTGACCTCTTAAACACCATGTTAAAGGCCACGTCCTACATTTGTATTTTTGAGAGCTTATGGTTTAAATAATTTAAGGTACTGTATATAAGCTGTCTGGAAATGACACTAAAATCACTAGTAAGTCCACACATTTACTGAGAAAAATCACAGTTAATCTGTTGATTTATGCTCCAGGAGCAGATTGTTAATGTATTCACCCACTGAGCCAAACCACACATTGTTTTTCTATTCGCTTCGCTGTTTCCAGTTGAAACGACAGCTAAACACTTTTGGTCCTGGTCCCAAACATTTGGCCTCTCGACAAAGCCAAAATACCCTCCTTCCCAGCCCCCCGTCCCCCACCTGTGCACCTCTACACCCCTACACGTACACACCAGCTCCTTGTGAGACACGGCGTGGAACAAAGAGCCGTTCGTCTGAAGCCAGTATGGCGTTACGCTGACTCGGAGTTCACCTGAAACACTGCACCCATGGCTCCAGGTAACAGCCCCTGCTGACTGATACCCTCCTGGGATTCTTTCACGTTATCAGGGGTACAATCTGAACTTTGGTCCATGGCAGTACACTCAGGTGTTGACATGTCTGTACCCAATCACACACAGCTAATGTCTAATGACTCCTGCTTGGAGGATTGATCAGGACGTCAGCGGTTAAAAGTTTTCCAGTAAAAAACAAACCAAACAAACAGGCCTTCAGGTGGACGATACAAGATGAAGTAATGCCTGATACCAGCTCTAACTGTTTCTTTTTCTGAGAGGATAAAGAGCCAACGTGTTGGGTTCAGGAGGCTAAAAGGTGAACAAAGAACCGTTGGCAGGATTTATGAGTGTTAAAAGACGGTAAATAAGAAGACGAGTTTGTCTCATTGAAATGTGAGCAGTGATGTCATTTACACAGCTCCCCCAACGCTGAAAGTGAGAGCCTGATCAGGGTAGACACCGTTAGGTGAGCTCTCAGCCCTTTGTGTGACACCCAGCCTTAGCCCCAAGGGTCCTATCCTCGGCTCCAAGTGAGCGTGATCCACACACACACCCATGCACACACTCCCAGACACATTCAGGCCTGCCCGCGCTTGAAATAGTAACGGTTCTTGTAAGCTTCGGAACCATTTACAGACATTTTTAGTCGTGTTTCATCCACGTGATGGTTTTGACACGTTGCTTTTCATCTTAAATGTCCAGATCACGCTTTTCACACGTTCTTCAGTGAGTGAGACACCGTATCGTCTTCGCCCTCAGACACTTGTTTCAATTGGCTGAAAAGGGGAACATGTAGTAGCAGTTCCTGTATCTGACACTTCATCCACGCAGAACAACAGCTGGCAGGCAGCTCGTCTAGACTGAGCACAAACTCACTTCTTTGATTTGATGCCACCGACGTCAACATCCTTCCTGCCTGCCTGCTATCACCACTTGTTGTCAGTGTCTGTGTATTTCATATAGAAGGTCTATGTTTGTGGTGATCCTATTGACCTTTTGTTGAGTTGTGACAATATGGTATTGGTTTCATTTTTGGAAGATTTTACAGCTGTTAAAAAGAGATGTAGTTTGTGTGCAACCAGATTGCCAGCACCTCTACGTTTTTAATTTGAACATAATAAATGCTTTACACTAGTGACATATCCATGAATCTAAGCCAGTGTCATGATGAGAGTAATGTAATTCAATTCCAATTTAGCCAAAATATGAATACAGATTAAAATAACTACAAATTTGAAAAAATGAATAATTCTTCAAAATAAATTCTCCAAAAGGAGGCCAAAAAGAAAAAATCAGTTTGCCACCAGATTAGTTGAAGTTAACCATTTAAAGACCAAAAATTCCAATGCTTCCAAACAAAGATTTAAAAAAAAAAAAGAATAGCCAAGAAATTAGCTAATATTTTGGCAAAGCCTAAAAGATGTAACAACAATACAAATATAATTCAATAATATTATTTCTAAGTTGCAGAAGATTCGATCTGTCAAAGCAGTTCTTACAGACAACATGATTACTGCTCATTAAGTAGAAGAATGACTTTTTTTCTGATGTTGTTGCTTTGGTTTACTCGCCTACTTGCCACCAGCTGTCATGAAGCCATTTTTTTTCATGCATCCCAAATGAACAGACATTCACTCACTCTGAAGTGTCCGACTCTATTGGTAATAAAAGCCGTGTGGCATTCGGCCAAGGCTTTGCTATAAGACACAATTGTTTGGGGGTTTTGTTCTCTCTTTGTCTCTCTGCTCTAATGCACACTAATAAGTAAGTAAATGGTGAAAAGATGCCAGTCTGAAATCACACTGGCCTTTGTTGGAGATAATGAGGTTAGCAGCACGAGTGTGCAGGTGTTGAGGGGTGTGCGGCGCGCTCGTGTTGTGTTACCGACTTGTTCGTATTCGTCGGCTGTCAGGGGTGTCGCTCTTCCCATCAGCCTCAGAGCTCAGCAACCTCTTCACTATTAAAATGATCACTTTCAATAGCAGACAAAGGAAAGAGGGGACATATCTAGTGCAGGGTATTTTCCCCACCTCTAATGCTTATCTGCCTTTTGATGTCAGTGTAATAAAAGGCCTATTGGACTCCCACAATGACCTGCGAAATGGACAAGGGCCGATATACGGAGCTCTGACTGTCACTGCCATTAAGTAAAAGGCCCAGACATTATGGAGAGCCGGGGATGAAAGAACATGGAAAAAAAATAATAATTGAAAAATTGCCTAATGCTAAAGTGAAAGAAAATGGGTCTGTGAAAAGGCACTGTAATATTCTGTTATCCTCTGTAAATGCAGCCAAACAAGAGATGCAGCCAGGCATTCTTTTTGAAATGGATGTGGTTCACTTACCTGCACGTCTAAATCTAGTTAGGGCCTCCATTGTCAGGCTCCAAAATAACAGGGCGATTTGATGTAGTGTTAAAGCGTATTATGCCCTAAAACCTACAGAAAATCAGGGGAGCTATGACTTCATTCAACATGTGTAGGCGAATTAAAAAAGCTCCCAGTCAGGGGAAGGTTAATTTAACTTTGATTTATTCAGATTTTGGCGGCTGTCGCGGTGCACAACAATTTTAAAGGGTGGAGGGAAATTTTGACAGTCCGTCAGCTTGTAATTGATGCAGACACTGCAGGCTGAAAGTTTTTGTTTTTACGGAGCGCCCCGAGTGTTGAATATCATCTCAACATCCACCACGTGTATGTGGAGGTTTTAGCAGGGGAGACGTCTGACTTGGCCTCACTGAGTACAGGAAGTAAGACTGCGGCTAACAATGGTTTCACCAATGTTTTGAAAGAAACTCTCAACGCCTTCTATTGTACATGCCTTAGTTATGATGCACAGTAATGACTAAAATGCAAATGACTTACTGTAAATTTTCAGGTTTTTTGCAGTAGCCAATGTAGGCTACAGTATTAATGGTCAATACTGTCTTAAACTCCTCATTTATATCAATTGCTGTTTATTCTAATTATATTGCAGGTAACCGTGAAAATGTACAAGCGTGGTTCCCATGGCTGGCTGGGTAAATCCCTGAGTGCCACCACCATCATACCATCCAACACGTGTGTGAGCTTCAGGATCAGTGGAGACGAAACCGACGCCAAGATCCCGGCGAGCACCATTCACAGCATCACACTGAGCATATAGCTGCGTAAAGCACACAGAACACACGCGTGTTCTAAGGCAGAGAAGCTTTACCTCAAACCTCATGTTGTTGTTTTACTGTGTGCCTGGTGTTGAAGTGTGAAGTTTGTAGAAGAGTCTGGGTGTATCATGGGGATTTACATAAAGAAACTGAACACATTAATGTCCTACGTCTGAAGGATCATGTTATGGAAAGGGAGATTGAGATTGAGAAGACAGTTGTTTTGATTGTAAACTGTCCATTAACCAATCATTTCATCAGTTTATGACTGAAGTGATAAGTGTAGGCAGTTAAATCCAGACCCGGCCTCTGCTTTAACGAGGGCTGAGCATGTTGGGTCCTCTTTGGGTTTTTATTATTATGGGATAAACTGTGGTGTGTTTCCACTGTGTAACTGTAAGGTGCTTTATTAATCTGCTCCACAGCTCTGGGAGTCATTCGTAACTGCGTCTCAGTCACTTTGTACCAGTTACCAGGCTCACGCTGCTGCGCTAACGGCTAGCAATTGTATTTACAGGACCTGGGAGTGGCCAAAATGAAGTTATTTCCATCAAGATATCAGTGCCTTCAGCTAATGCAGTAGACAGAGAGCTGCTGGTGTTGGTGCTATCTTGTTGCATGGCATCTCTCCACCTGAAGCATCATCACACTGCACTCCAACTCCTCACTTTTACACGTCTGTTTACTGTTTTACTGGCAGTTGCACACAGCAGCTCTGTGCTTTGTTAGCAGCAGCAGACACACATTTCATTGCCTCTGAATGTTTTGATACCGAGATGTGGATTGATTGGGTTTTTTTTGTGTGTGTGTGTGTCTTAAGACAGGTTTTTAATTATATTTACCATAAATAAATCTGGATTGATACGGACATACTGTAAGTATGTCCAAGAATGTCTTAATATTTGTATTGCATAATACAGCGTAGCGTTTTGAAAGTGAAGCCAGTCATCCAAAACAAAGTGCCAGAAGTAGCTCAAATAAAAGTTAAAAGATACAAGGAAGGAAAAGATATATGGAATACAATATTATAATCAGGTACCACAACGCTGGCACAGATGAATGGACAAAACCGGGTATTGCAACTGTAATGGTATGTTCATGTTATATATACAAATAAGCCAAAAACAAACAAAAAAAAAACTTAATTTACAAAACTTCAAGCACTTTCAATATAAACTGACCTCGCACTGACCTCTGCTCACTCTTCAGGTGGTTTGATATGAGCATGTTTGTTGATATATCATTTGGTGTTTTTATTTTATCTATATTTGTAATATGCTGTCCCAATAAACCAAGTGAACTTATTGAGCTATTTGTGATTATTTGTATATTTATTATGTGCTATTTTTGTTGTTGTTCAGAGTGGAAATTGCACTGATTTGTATTTTTATTCCTTTGTTTTGTGAAAATAGCATTTTTAGGACTTACATCATTATTAATTTGGCAATTTAAAGCCATATCTGTGGATCTCTCGTCATTGGTGATAGTTTTACTGTATCTATCGAGGAACCACATGGATGCTGCATCATAAAATATCAATAAATGGTAGTGGTGGGGAAAACGAGCCAGCTGTAAAATTGGAATTAAAAGGTTTTTATTTTTAAATATTTTTATATTTGCTGAACAGGTATTTTCTTTTCTTTTTTCACTAAAATAATTAAAAAATGGCACTTTTGCAAAGATTTGCAGTACCCACCTTTCAGGAAGAGTACTTTGTATATAACAGGGGTCAGAAGGTTTCTTCAGTGCTTCATTTTGAAGATGAAGGACAGGCATCAACAGCTCACTCTGCTCTTTGAAAGCATGCAGCAAGTCTTTAATGCAGTAAAACACACGGGAGATTAGCCGTGGATGAGTGGCCACCGGGACAAAGCGACCTCTGTTGGGCAGCGTGGCGGTGACTGACTGGTGGTGGGTGAAGGGAGTCTGAGCGGAAATGGACAGAACACAGTGTGACGAGGTAACAAGGTAAACTGATCCAAGCTGCAATTCTTCAAGAAACTGAATCAATGCGGCTTCTGTTTAAAAAAATCCTCCTCAAAATTCAATTTAGGCAAATCCATAGCAAAACACAATCAGCTCTGTTTTCTAATCTGCGTCTATGGTTTAAACAAAGACGCCTCCCATCAGTCGGGTGATTATTTTGAAATATGAAAGACTCTCTGACCTGGTGCTTCTCGTAAATGAAGTACTACAAGTCTTGACCCTGCAATAAAGCCAGGTGTACAACTCTGACCTGCAGCTATCTGACACAGTCCCAGGGTTGTCAGGTCAGGTGGCTGATCTGACCTCAACTTTGTCATAGACATGGAAGTCTAGAGTAGCTTGGACATACGGGACAAAAGCGCTCTCCAAGCAGGAAATCCAGAACCAGGGAACTGTTTTCAAATAGGACACTGCAGATTAGATGATTGTCCATCTACAATATTAATTTCCTTTTACTTACTGCACCAAAAATGCAGTTGAACAACCAAACGTGACTGCTGAAAACATTCTTTTTAGTTGAGGTAATTTCACTGAAAGGTACAGTTCAGATCAAATAACACATGATCCAACATGTGAAGTCTGTAAAGGACTACATATGAGGTTTTTATGCACTTGAGGAAAAGCTGTGTTTACTGAAAGAGTGAGTAAATACTCCAGCCCTACGATCAACAGAAAGCAGGCGCTTTGCTTAATTTGTCAGTGCCAATACTCAGCTGCAGAGAGAATCAAACATCACGTGGCTTTGAAATGAATGAATACAGTAGTGTATTCATTTTCTATCACCTAATGCAAACAAATGTGACAAAGGAGCTGCAGGATTGACTGAAGGAGGGCCATTCATCGTGGCCAGTAAAAAGTCTGAACACTTTCTATGTTTAGGTGAATCCCCAGTCTGCAGCTCACAGTACTGGTTTCATAAACGTGTAGCTAGTGATGGGACGACTGAAAACATAAATGGGAAAGATATTTCATCTCTGTTTGTGTTTGTCAATATCCTCATAAAGGATTACAAGTCCATGTAAATTACAATTATTACATAGTTCCCTCAAGCTATTTAGAATGACTGGTTAATGTGGATTGCTTCTGACAAATCTTTTTAATTCAATAAATCACAAAATGAAGAAGAAGTGTTGAACACAGGGGCAGGAAATTAACCATGTCTCCGAAGCAACACGATTGTGAGGAACCAACAGGTCAACAAGAAGCAGACAGGAGTGAGTCACTCATTATTACACACAATGCCACTCTGGAGCTTCTTTATGCTTCTCTGCTCTTTCATCAGCTGTTGACGGAGACAGATTAGGATGAAGGTGGAGCAGAGAAGCACATGTCAGTTTACTGCTCTGATAGTTTATTTTTTTTATTATTTGCGTTAATTCATATCCAAACCTGATTATATTATATTACAGATTTGACAGATTTAGCCGCAGTGATTGAAGTCTTTTTCACTCTAACTGTCCTAATTAAAAGGACTCAGATAGAGATGTCTTTTTCATACAGATGCATTTGCAGCATCTTAATAAAATTATTGCAGGTTTCATTGCAGGTTTACTGTAATATCTGAGTTAGCGCATTGCCTGTGACCAGTCATCCAGGTTAATGATGCCGATATCAACATCAATTATTCAGTTTCATTACTGCTGTCGTTTGACCTGTTTCACGCAATGCTGTCAAAAATGTTGGGCAGCTGCTTATTGGGAGGTGGGATGATCAATAGATAAATAATAGAGTTATGAGCAATAGAGCTGCCGACGTGGCTGCAGAACAAACCTCCACTCCAGCCTGCTGCTGCTGCTGCTGCTAAAACAACAAATGGACTAGCCAGAGGCCAGAGCCATCAGTAATAACACAATGTGTGGATGATGATGAATTAGGGGGCAGGGGTCAGAGCAGGAACATTGGTGAATGTGTCAATCGATGTGTGTGTACCCATTAGTATGCTTTGCACCGAGTCAATGTGTTTTTGAACTTCACTAATGTCCAAAGAAGTTAATGCAGTCAATAAACTCAAATTCTTCATTGACTTGACTCCATAAAGTCAGACAGATGTACTTATTAATAGACTTGTTTAATACTCAATACCATGGATTTGTTCCCTGCATGTAAACTATTTCATGTTCTTTCCTCCCACATCACTGCACTTTGTTGAGTTCAGAGTGGCAGACGTTCAATCACCCATGTCCCCAATCAAGTCCATCACATTAATAGACAAGAACTGAACAGAGGGGTGTTCAGGATCCACACTTTATATATGAATCAGATTCACAAACACAACTTTTTTTCTAAAACTTCATAGAGAAGCCACCAAACATGTCACCTTCTGGTATTGACTCCCCCGTCCAAACAACTTTTATTACTGTTTTAAATATTACATTTACTATTCTTTTAATAATTTCTAACTATGTTGGATAAATGTTGATGTTTACATATTAATTAATGGGTAATTATTAACTCAAAACTAATGATTTCTGTATTTTTGGCTAACTTATTTTTAAGGATTTCAAACTGTATTCCGTTGGTTACTGTGTTATTATTTGACTTGCTCTCACAGTCCTCATTACAGCCTACATATTACCTATAGTTCTCAGACAATGCTTGGGTCAACCTACATAAGCGTCTATACCATAAACTCTGTAACTTTACACAAGCGGCAGAGCAGAGAAACGGCTCGGAGCTGCCGCCTTCAAACACAGGTGTCACTTAAGACCCATGAGATCCCCACGGCGCGCAACTGCTCCCACAATAGCTACGGTGTGCACTAAAAACCTCCATGAGATCACGGTGTCTTGACCTAAATGTCACTAGTAGGGAATGTTTTCTTTCGCTAAAAGAGAGAAGATGTAAACAACTTGAGACCCGTGTGTTTGTTTGGGGTTGTATCTTTGAAGGAAGACTCCATTCTGCACCACCGATTTTCCTAAGAGTGGCTGTTGAACAGCAACACTTAATTGGCAGATAATTGATGGTTTGAAACAATGTTCTTGTGAGGCACCGGGGTGCCAACAATGTCTAATAAAGCAGGTTGAAATGGATACAAGGAGTCGGTTAAATTTTGCCCATAGTCACTCAGAAGCACACGGGGAACTTGAGCCTCAAAGATGTGGTGCATTAGTTCTGCTAAGCTAACCATGAACGCTAATTGCAGGAAGGACAAACTGTAACCCTTGCCCTGTGGCCATGAACCCATTAAACAGCACACAGGGTTTTATAGACAGGGCCAACGTTCAAAGGAGCTGCACTGAAAAGACCTGCAATCTGATTTGGGCCTTAAATGGGGATAACATGCTACTGTTTTCCAAAATCCCCCCCGGGATCTGCCCTCCACTTTTTAATGACATAAAGAAAAGTCCCTGTCACTCCAGCACTGACCACAAATCACCGCAACAATGCAACAGGTTTTATGTTTTCAAGTGGAATAAGCTGTGTGATATGTAGGACCGGGCTTCAGTTCTCACAGGTCTGACAGGCGGCTCTCAATAGGACATGGATCAGTTGTGTTTAAGTGCTTGTGGTTTCACCCTGGAGGAACTTGACAAGGCATTCATGAAACGGAATGACACCCAATACATTGGAGAGTGTCCTTCCACTGTGAAACTCTTAAGTATTATCTCTCAGCTCTGCAGGCAACACCTTAAATCCTGAGAACAATCTTGGACAAATCCATGGGTCCAGTGTTACCACAACACTTGACTTGTTTACGGGCAGTTTCTGGAGGAGCAAATGTCACAAACAAGAGTTCTGAAGATTTTTTTGTGTGTTTTCACTCTAAATCTCTGCAGCCCCTTTGCCCTCTGGCCATACATTTTAAAACATGACCCCAGACGTACCGAATGCCCCTGTCTTTTAAAGACACTCTACATTTATCAAGCTGGCAGTTTGACAGGTGACATGGAAGCTCATTTGATGTTGCATTTCTCCCTCCCTCTCTCTCTAAAGCACTACTCAGATTCAGGACTGTTGACTCAACTTGAGTCATGCACCGACGACTCCGACTTCAAACCCTGAAACTTGACTTGGACTCCACATTTGTCATCACCAACCCTGCAAACTTAACACTCACTTTTCTTCAGCGACTTGACCTTGACACAAACCCGGGGGGCGCGACCTGGGGCATTCAGGGAATTTGACTTTGACTTAAGACTGTGGAGACTGCACACAAACTTGAAACCAACTCCTTTTGTGAGTCAGGTTCATCTACATTTACTGAAATTATAAATCTTTGTTACTCTGCACCACAACCTGTGTTGAGTTAGCTCCATCCATTCCCATATACATTCACAGCATCATTTCCACATCAATACACTATGACACAGCTTGGTATAACACACTCTTTAAGCATTACAGATAGGAAAGAATAGCAGCAATAATAGTGAATAGTGAGACCTGCTATGATGGTTCAGAGACAGTGGCTCTGTCGAATAGACAAAAGGATAGTTGGAGGTGGAGGACATGAGCAGGTCAGTTAAGGCGGAGGAGCATGGAGATAAAGTTTAGACATGTGCTGAGGACAGATAGAGAAAATATCAGACAAAGAAAGTTGGGGAGTTACCTGTGGATGTGGTAAAAGAAGACATGGAGATGGTTGATAGAAAAGCAGGAGGCAGAAGATGGAGGCAGACCCCTGAGGGTAATGGCTAAAAATGAGGAAGAAAAAGGAGCAGCATTACAGGTTGAAATGGTACTAGCAGTCTAACCAGGTGAAACTACTGAAAGATAAGGACTCTGTGCTCTGCGGAGTTTATTTACTTATGTTATTTAGGAGGGAACAGAAGAAAGGAACATGGAAACAGTAACTAACATGAGAAACAGACCTGCTAGAGTCCAGCAGCACTGAGGAACCACGACAACCACGGTGGTGACAACAACGATGACAATAATCCAACAGAGACACAGTGAGGGAGAGTACAGTACATCCAGGGCACCAGGTGAGACTGATTAACATGGAACCACAGGACACAGGTGAGGCTGATTAACTAATTAACCCAGAGGAGAGGCAGGGGGCAGGAGAGAAAGTTTGGAGTTGGGTTTTACAAAAAAAGAAAAAGAAAAGCAGAATACATTTTTAATAGATCCATAATGTTTGTGTTCTATTCAGTTCACGCAATAACATCAAGTCCTTTAGCTCCTTGATCTGGTCAGAACTTTCAGAAGTTCTGAACTTCCATTCAGAATAGTAAAATATCAATGCGTTTGTCAGTGGGTTTTTTTTTTTTTTTTACATGTTCAGAGAACAAAGCTCACTGAGTCATTATCAAAACAAGAAATTGTGACAAAAAGCCTCACAGGCTGAATTTTACCCTGAGCCAAACTCTCGGACCCTTCTGTCAGGTCCAGAGACTTTTGATTTACTATAACCCAACTCCCAGGTGAGCGTCAGGCCCACTGCTGCATGTCTGCGTGGCATACAGAGAGATGAATGACCGGGAGTGAGAAACCTAGCAGTGGGTTACATGGCCTTGAGCCTTAGCATCTAATTAGGTTCTAATGTAACTACAATGCTCTCAAGGAGATGCTGTTTTGGCCACCAAAGCTCTTTAAAAGCCTCCCTGGGGCAGGGGCAGCTTGGAGTGAGGTGCAGTGGCAGGCGTCAGACACAGCCAACCAGAGGGCTCGGGTTTCACTCCCCAGCTGGAACGGACTGGCTGCAGGAATACCAACAGGACCAGGATCTTTACTTTGGTCCTGTCTCATACACCACAGTTGTTGTTTTTTTCATTTTAATTTTGCAATTTTTATTCAACAATTATATTTATACACCTCGGATCTAACCATGTGTCTGTAGTTTTAAAAGCAAAAAATAAAGAATATTTCACAGATAGCAAATTTACAAAAAGGCATTCAGATATCGTTTTGTCTTAAAGTGTAACTCATAGGAACATAAGTCCTCTGGGTCTCTGTAATGTTGTAAAAGAAATCATCTTTCCTGCCCAGATCATTGTCACAGAGAGCTGCTGTCACAGAACAGAAATCAATTTTCTACCGCCGACTTCCACAGGAGCATCCCACGGCATTAAATTATTAATGATTTCTCATCATTGTCGGTGTGAAATATGACAACAAAGGCGTTATATGCTTACTAAATAATCGGAATTGCCTGAAATCATCAACATATTTGGTTTCATGGAGAGGCCGTCCACTGCTCCGATCCGTGGAGTGTTGCCGTGAAACTGAAGACAAAGCCAGAACACAGAATGGTGTCAATATTTTCCTGATGCATCATGTGATTTCCTCATTTCTCAGCTCGTGAAGGACGGTATCATCAGCTCCATATAATATTAGAAACCCGCCTCGAGAGATAAGGTGTCCGCGTGAAGGTCATCCGTGCCCTCTTGAGTGAACATAAGAGCCATTTGCGGTCGGGTTAAATGCACCTGACAGGCTGTTGGAGCACAATCAGCCATTTTAATTGTCATGTAACGGTTTCATGTAGAGACAAACTGTCTGCAACACTTCAGCGGTTGGAAACCAGAGCCTGGCCACACAACCACAGATATAGTGAACTGGGCCTTTAATGAAGGAACAAAAGAAGTGATGGCGCTCTGGAGCGGCACGAGAAGAAAGATGCTGGAAATGCAACAGATGCAGCTGCTGCCATTTTTTTTATAACAGAATGAAACAAAACATGGACACATGTAACTGTTTGAAAGCTTATGCCAAGGTCACTTCCATTCTAATTGATTTAATACAGCTGAGAAATTGGGACCAGAATTGTGTTTTTCCTTTAAGGCCTCACAGATTACAACAGTTTTAATGGCCACTCAAAGAACTCAATTTTCCAATTTAGCAGAAGCTGAATATGAAAGGAAACAAGTTAATTCACCAGAGCCCCAACAACAACCCCCGCAACCATTTTCCATCTGTTTCATCAGCAGTAATTACATCTCAAAAATGAATGCCATTTCATATTAAGCTGCAGTCGCAACCCAAAGACGGACTCATTACTGGCAATCAAGAGAATTAGTTACATCATTTAACTAAACTGAGGTAATGATTTCCAGGATACCACAGAGGCAGATAGGGCCATTAGAAAAAATTGAGCTCTTAAACAGAATAATTGACATCTCTTTCTCTCCGGGCTGCATTGGCTGAAGGGCTTCACAAATTACATTAGCTGCAATTGAAAATGTGAACTGAGGGGAAAAGACAACACTTGAGGGTTTTGCAGGATGCAGTTTTGTTCACTCCTCCCATTCATAGAACAGAGAGCTGGGCCTGTTTCACATCTGCCTGTCACCACTGTAGAAACACAATAAAAAGAATACGTCAAAAATGTTTAGCCTCCTGAAAGAGTTGTTCTTTAGAAATACTTTTGTTGCTAAAGAAAATTAAACGATTACATTTAGCATATTTTCCCTTTTTAAAGTCCTGCTTTAGGGGCCACATTTGGCTTGCTAACCCCTCACAGTTGGACTGTGACTAGATGTCAATAATTTCATTGCTTATTAAGTTTTATTTTTAGTTATTTGTGCTTTGGTTGATAATTTAAGAGTGACAAATATAAGATTTTTAAAAGCTATTCACACTTTACCAAAAACTAATTTTTCTAAAATATCTGTTTTGTTTTCAATATTTACCACTGATGTGGCCCACAACAAATATACAACTGCTGCCTTTTTTTTTTTTTTAAATCACTCAGTAACCCACACAATTAGTGTTCTGACTAATCCGTATAGGCCATACACTACACACACACACAGCTGAACACACATTAGATATATGTATACTATTCTAATAGGTGTCTTTTACCCTTCAGAACAGCATAAAGCCAAGTGTAATGCTCCGTATTTTTGACTTCTGATGTTTATCAGCACAGTTCAGTCACAGGGTAAGCAAAGCCACAAGTGTGTAATCACTGTCTCTGGACAAATCACCAGCAAAACACTCATTTGCTAAAACACATTGCTAAAGTTCAAAACAGTGACGAAAGCCAAGATTGACTTTTTTTATTTTTGTTTGTTTTATTACCTATAGAGAGCTCATTTCAAGTAAAAATTTATATAAATGAATAAAAAGATGCAATAACAGTCCTTGACTCAAAAGATGCTAAAAAAGCTTTATATGAACAAGTGACAACAAGAGAGATTTGTTAAACAATAAACAGTGACATATTGAACAAGAAAAGTCAGAAAAGAAAGATTTTGACAAACAATCCAAAGAGAGATGTTGTTTTGGTGCAGAACTAACGACAGAAGAATAAAAGTAAATGAACACTGGATGCCAGCACAAATCCCAAACATGGTTCAGCCTCATATGCATGGATCAATTAAGAGGTGATCTGCAAAAACAAAAAAGCAATAAATCACCATAGGTCAAAGCATTATTTACTCATCTAGTGCTGTATTTTTCTGTAATTTAATAAGATCCTTGAACTTCAAACATTGCTTATAGGTTACAGTAACAATAACTTAAGATACAACAGAACCGTTCTATGATCTGCACATAAGACATCAGTGTTGTGTTCAATGTTCAGCTTTAAGTAAGAAAAACATTTAAAAAACAGAACTTGCCTAACACAAACCTATTACTGTACTTCATATTTACTAGCTGAATGTACGCATATGACAAAAATACTCAAACACCATCAACAATTTTAGCTTTACGGTTACCATTTATGACAACTGGTACAACTAGTTGAAGTAAATATTAGTTCTCATCTGTGGCTCTTTCCACTGTCGGATATTAAAAGAAGTAGAGGCAAGGCGATAAAGATCAGTATGAGCCGCAGAGGAACGTGCACTGTATAAAAGCAGGTATTCTCCCTGAGGGAGTAGCAATAAGATTTACTATTTCACAATGTTTAAAAAAAAATTAGGTGAGCAGGAAGACTCACTTGGGCTTGGTTTCGGCATCTGTGACTTGTCGGATGAAGATCGCGTCTTCTGGGTGACTGATGTCTCCTTTTTCTTGCATGTAGGAGGCAGCGATGGCAAGCATGGTGCCGTCGTTGTTAAAAGCAAGTGATGCGATGCTGGTCGGGTAGCGGTGGAACTGACACAGGCGCTTCTTGTTGAATGGGTCCCAGATGTTTACAAAGCCGTCTGAGCCACCTGGTGGAAGGACAAACTCAAGGTCAACGACAAATGACGCGAGCCGTATGACAGCACAGTTGTGAGCATGTAATGATACGGTGTGACTCAAGACATACAGGTGATGAGTGAATTAGTTGACATAGCAATATGTAGGTATCCAATTTTGCAAGATTTATGTCACTGATTTTGGCAAGTGCTAATGAGACAGTTGTACCTGTGGCAAAGGTGTTGTGCACACTGTGAAAGGAAATTGCATTGACAGGGTAAACATGCTCGATCCCATCTTCCTTCAGCCTGTGGCATTTAAAGGCATACTTCTTCTTCTGAACCTCCTGACTTGGGTCCAGGTACTCCACAGCAACACGGCCCTCGATTGAACTCAAGACGTAGCCCTGAAGCCAAGACAGAAAATATTAAGTTACCGTCCAACTTCTTAACATTAACACAGGAAGCTGCTGCTGTAACATGACAAGTCTATTTGAAGTGAATTTCCTGTCATGTTAAAACTACACAGCTCAATAGATCTGTGTAAACTGTAATTGATTTAAAAAGAATAGATAGCCATTTTAAAGAGTACCTGTTTGTTGGGGAAGGCTCTAATGCAGCGAGTCTGATACTTGAGACTGGATTCTCTCCTCTGCTGAACGTAGCCCATGTTCCTCAAATCCCAAACCAAGACTCTTCTTCCTGCTGTGCCAACGATTAATCTGTCTCCAGCCACAGACAGGGTGTATACCTAGAGTAAAGTTCATGTATGAGAAAACAGGTAGGGTGCCAATTTTTAAAAATGTCTCTGTGTTATCTTTTCATAATTTAAAAATAACAAAAAATTAAAAAAGAACAAAATATAATTTTGTCAAAATTATAAACTCAGTGTTACCATTTTCTTTTACAAAACCTAAAAAAGAATTCTAATAGCAATGCCCACAATATATACAGTATACTTAACCCAATATATGGCAGTTCTGCTTTACCTTTTCGGGCTGAGTAAATGTCCCAGCATTGCAGGGGGTCCTTGGATCCCAGAGCCGGACCGATCTGTCCCAACTGCCTGTCACCATAACATTGACTTCCGGACAGTACTCCACACAACGTATGGGGGCATCATGCGTGCCGACGATTGTGTCTGATGAAAAACAGACAAATGTTGTGGTGATCACGTACGATCAGCATTCGTCCTCAACTGTTTTACTACAATGTTTCAATTGTACCTTGGTCTGTGTTTAGATCATGTGTCTTTAATTGTGCATCCAACCCTCCACTCCAAGAATGTGCCGGATCCTTAAAAACACAAAGTAAACGTTAGCCGTGTGTGACAAAGTCGTAAGCTCTTACAAGACAATGGGGAAGCAAACAAAAACTGGAGGCATACATAAAAAGCACAGTCAAGAACTGGAGCTGTGTGCTGGTATTTCATTCGCATGGTGTTTCCCCCGACATCAAAGAGACGAACTGTGCAGTCCCAGGAGGAGACCAGCAGAAACTGAGCTGCACTAGGGCTGAACTTGACAGCAGAGATGCTGTCCTCTGGCCCCTGGTTCAGCTTGTACTCGTTTGAGCCTGTCATCTGCAGAAAAAAAAAAATCAAAATACAAATTAGACCTAAATTACAAGTTAGAGAAAAAAAAACACACCAAAAAGCAGCCAGTAGTTTTTTACTCTTCGCTGTCACAGAGAAAGGAATGTGTCAATTAGTGTTTCAGTTATCATAACGATAACATTCGCAAGCTAGAATCCTATTTTCAATATTAGCAAAACTGTCAGGATAGTGCAATGTTTTGTGCGGATTTTCACAGTTACGTGTAAGTACACAAAAAACAACAACAAATGGAACAAGGCATCTCTTTCTAATCTATGCCAATTAAATAATTCAATACCGCTGCCAGCTCCATACATAAACAACTGACTTGCGTTGTGATAGCTTAGCTTAACTGCGTGTTGCTAGCCGTGCTCAAGTTGCATAGAGAGTTTAACATGGGTAATTAAAATGCAAATACCGTCAACCTACTCGATATGGTATCTCATTAAACATTAAAGTAACGTTACATAATAGTATCATACATAGCAATTACACCCGACACACCGGTGTTCACCGATAGCAACGTTGCTAACAGTGTAGACAACGCAGACTATGAGCTGTGTTTCCAACAGTTCTATTTAACTTACCGCTTCAGTAAGGCATCCAACAGACGAAAACAAACGTGTTTTGGCGACGCTTACTATCAATGGTGTGGCCAAAGATTTAGTAAAACATACAGGCGCTTAAGATAAACAATTACAGGACCGTCTTTAGCTGCGTGTAGCTAGCACCCATCTGACTAAGCGCCGAGCAGTCATGGGAAACATTGATTGGTTGAAAGGGAAGTTTGAATTCCCGCATGCATTGTGATTGAACGGTTGCAGTCTGACCTCATTTCCTTAGTATTAACACGTGACCGGATCTTTCTTTCTCTTTCTTGCCGACATTCAGATCGAGTTTTGAAGATTCATAATCTCTTTCATAAAAATAAAAAAACATAAGTATAACTAACATGACAAAGAAGACGACACAAAAATAGCGTTTTATTATACCTGTACCTTTATCCTTAACTCCTTTTTATTTGCATAATGAAAAAGTATTTTCCCCTTTAAATACATTTTTCACGTGAATTATAAAATATTAATAATTATAATTATATAATACTATAAAAAATTATAAAAATCCTTATATTTGATTACATTTGAATTATTGTTGTTTGAATATTTCTTTGAGTTTATTTATTTATTTGAGATTATTTTTCATTATTATTCATATTAACATGATCAAATTACTATTGTATTTAGTCCATAAATGTATAAAAACGTAATAAGCAATTGTACATACATACAAAGAACTACCAACTACGATAACCATCATTTGGAAAAGCACGTTGACCATTTCCTTTTTTATATACATCATTAAAACATGAGAGATACGTATTTCATTTTGGAGCAATTTTTTTACTGAGCATATAAGACCATATCATGTACATAGTGTAAATATACATACACGGAAACAAAGGCTGATTTGGCTCTTCCATGGCTTTAAAATCACAGTAATAAAATCATTGCATTGCAAAAACAAAACAATCTTTTACCTAAATTCTAAATATTTTCCCCAGTGTTGATTGTCCTCACTATTACGTTACAAATGTATCTGCAGAACGTGGAGCCAAACGTATTGCACAATATATAAAAAATAATAATCATATAAAGTTCACCTGTTTTTCTAAAAACACTGACACTTTTTTCCCCAAAACACATATGGACAATTACCCTGTTCATCACAAGTCCATTCATTCACCTTTAAATAATAATAACTACGAATAATAATAACATTAACTACTACTGTTGTGTTAAAGTGTATGTATACACTTCGGCATAATAATAATAATAATAATAATAATAATAATAATGGTTTTGTTTCAATCTACAAAATATACAAAATGGTATTTGTCCACTTGCGGTCACTTTTATTTAAAAACATATGTACAGCAGCTCAGTATTGAGGACCCAGTCAGTTCAGTGTTAAACGGGCCTGAGCAGAGGCACCGGGTGGGAAAAGTACATGTGATGGGGAAACGCCAGCAGAGACTGGCTCCCCGGTGAATTTGCCGCGGCCCCTCCGCTGGATTCTGCGGCTCCATGCTCATGGTAAAGTATGGGAACCCGCACAATCCTTTGCGCCGCCGCGTGGCTCAGATTGGCCGCCTCCAGCTCCGCAGCCAGCTGCCGTTTCCACTTATTCCTGCGGTTCTGGAACCAGATTTTGACCTGTGTCTCGGTCAGGTGCAGGGATGCGGCCAAGCCCGCCCGCTCCGAGCTGCTCAGGTAGCGCTTGATGTCGAAGGTGGACTCCAGCTGGAAAACCTGGCTCCTGGAAAACACTGTGCGCGTCTTTTTCTTCCGACAGGGCTTCCTCTCAGGGTCCAGCTCCTCAGTTTTTTTCCTCCAGTCTTCACCGTTTTCTGCGTCTTGCTTTGGTTCTTCTGTGTCACTTTCATCCAAGGTGATGTCTTCTTCGGTGCTTTCCTCTTTGACATCTTGGTCACATTTCTGCAGGTCCGGAGAGCGCCGGTCCGGTTCTGGAGACGCTTCTCTCGGATTGGTCTTCTCAGGCACTGCAGAGTTATTGGGGAAAAAACGACAAAAAACAAAAGCAAAACAAAAAAAAATTAATTCTGAGAGACACCGGTGGAAAATACATAATGTACAAACAATGAATGACTACTTTCCCACATTAATATAACACAGAATGTGCAAATATGCCTTTACAAATTATTTTAAAATGAATATATTTAAATCAAGGTTATTTAACGTTATTTAAAAACATTATTTACCGGCAGTTCTTAGATGCGCTCCCAGTGTGTATGGGTACCACCAGGCGGACGCTCTGTCCAGATACTGTCCAGGCAGTCCAATCCTCTGGGTTGGCAGCTCAAACCTGGGAAAAGGTAAGTCACCCAGGCGAGAGAAAAGACCACCTTCAAATACTCCTCTCCCCGAGGCCAGAAGACTCTTCGGCTTCGATGGTTTGTCTTCGATGTTTAGTAAGTTCTTAATGGAGAACGGCGAGTCTTTTGCGTTTGGGCGAGTCTCTTGCGCATGAGAGTCTGCCATCACCGTTTACTGTGCGGTGTGGATCACCATGAAAAACCTTAGGTCAAGAGCTTCTCCGTGTAAAAAATGAGAAAGAGGTGACTGTAAAAGTCGGTCGAAGTCTCGTCCACCTGCTGATCAGACGGTCGGCCGGAGCTTAAAGGTCCCTGCGTCCTGACTGTAGCTCTAATGGTATAGGACTAAACGATGGCATACAAGTTAAAACGCGCTCGGTTGCTGCTATTGGGCAGGTAAAATAGCAAATGGGATTTGAGATGAAACCTCCGGGGGCTGTGACGAGGATGGACTCCAAAGAGAAAGGCCGCGCAAGCGTTTTGGCTCCGGGCTCAAACGTAGACACGCACACTTATCATCCAATTACATTACAGAGAAAAACGTGTCAAGGTTTTCAGGGGGTGCGCCATGCTCTGTGGAATCACCGCTCTGTAAATGAAATAAACGACACAGAGACATTTTTGGAGGCGTTGGCACAAAATGGAGCCAACTTTTACGCGTTGTTATTTGGCAAAGAGGCGTAAAAACTACAATAAAATCATACAGAATTGGCCAGGAGTTGTAATTGTTATCGCATATTAACAGATAGATATTTTTGGCCGCATAATATTGCGATCACGTCTGTATTGTCAGTGCAACAGGAAAGCAATCTGCCCTGCGCGTCACCAGCACCGGAGCTCATTGACTTCAGTGTAATGTTATTAGGCAGGAAATGCCGCAGTCGGACATCACATTGGATGCTGATCATTGTGATAACGGCTTTTCAAATCATAGAGGACTGCAGACAAACAGATGTAACAGGTGCTGCGGTACAACGACGCAAGTCATGGTTCTGTTACTGATCACGGTAGCTTGACCATAAAGTGTCACTGTGTTTGATCAGACCAGCACCGGGTTCTCCTCCTGTGTCACTAATAAATACAGTTAAAGAAAAAAGAAAAAAAGAAAAACAATATGCTGTTTAAATTCTAGCAAATATCTCCGAAGAAACAAACAAACAAAAAAAACAACAACAACAAAAAAACAAAAAACAACCTCGGGTCCGAAACACTAAACTATTTAAAACACAATAAAACATACAAGTGAATAATAGTTACAAATATCAGGAGGACGGGTGGCTATCTAAATTAACCAGTTAACAAATTGGTTAATCAATAAATAAACGATTAAATACGTGAATAAAAATATAAATATAAAATATATAAATAATATATAAAAATACGGCCAGAAGTAATTAAATAAAAGCATGAGATATTTAAAACATTTTAAATATAAGCAAAAATAAATAAAAGATTCCATTTGGTTGCAACACAATATAGTAAAAAAGAATTAGCTCAGTTAAAAAAATATTAAAATATAAAAATTAAATAAAATAATAACTAAATGTTCTTTAGTCAGCTATTAAAAACGTTTGAATCTAGGCCTTAAATTGCTAAATGTTTGCCCTTTTGGCTATATATTTGCGAAAACATTGGAAAATTCTAAGTTAGCAAAATTAGCAGTTACCAAAATGCATTTCAAGCAAAAGACTAATGAATTCATGAATTTGCAGTGCACGTGTATACTTGAGGAATTGCAACCTTAACAATAAAGAATAACATTTTTAGAACACCGTTTGGACAGAACAACTTAATTTTAGGACCAGTACCAAATAACAACTTACTACTGTACAGAATAATAAAAGAATGTCAGTATGTGCTATATAAACTGCACGTAGACCAAGTCATCTGTGATGACACACAGCTGTGTCTGCCACTAATAAACAAAAAACAATTACATTTAGGGTCCATTGCTCACTAACTAAACCTGAACTGGTGCAGTAATCAAACAAATTGAATTTGCACAACCTGCAAACATGCAGTCTGTCCTTTATGCTGGTGGAGCACTCTCCAGCTTTGAAGGACAACACAGCGTTTTGTGGAAAGCTACTTGAATCCCTGCATAATTAGAGGTCTCGTTGCTGTGTTAAAGATGGGGGCGGAGAAGGAGGCTGGTTGAGCTCTGTTTGCCAATTCAAAGTGAAGAGCAGATAGCTGTGTTTTCCATCAGATTATGTTCATTAAACAGGGGGTTGATCCACAGACTGAAAAAAGTCTGAGCGTAGGTGAATGACAACAATATAAGACGACCTACCTAGGTTTGTTTGTTTGTTGGACACATATAAGGTGGAAAGTTGCCTAAAAATGTAGCAGTTATGGATTTGACCACAGCTTCTATAGATCACACACAAAGTGCCATAATGGAAGAAGGGTAGTAAATATAGGTCTGTATCCAAGTAGCCCAAAATATCTATGTGGCCCACATCTGTGCTGACCAGGTTGTTTCTAAAAAATAAATAAATAATAATAATAATACAAATAATATACTGTAAATATGTCTGTGAGTTTATTTTATGATTAAAGAAAAAAATTACCAACATCAACAAGAACAGGTTTACATAGATTTGTCACCTTTGACCTTTACCACAAATTAAACAATGCATTTCACAGTATTAATTAATACCCAAGCCTGTTACCAGTAACTGTGGAAATTGTCAAAAATGTAATTTGAATTTGTCTTACTTTCTTATTAATAATATTAAGTTAATATAATATTTTGGACTGGGTTGCAGCCATCAACAGTTTTAAATTCATGACATTCAAAACAAAATTGTTCTGGAGTGAAAATGATGCCACCTAAAGGCGGTTCCAAATCAATTAGCAATCTTACAGCACTACATAGGTTTTTTATGTTAAACCAAGTTATTTATTTTAAACAAATAATTTTATGAACATGTACTGGCCATTGTAGATACTTCTAGGTCATTGACCTGCTTTCCTTAATTGATTTTTAACCTTACTAACAACAGCAATAATGGATATTTTACTATTATTATAATAAAGCAATAATTAACTTATGCTATCGGTTAGCACTGTATCTTTGGACGCAAAAGTCATAAAGGGTGTGTCTGCGTGAAGGGACACACGTTGTCTGTTCAGTGTAAAACAATAGACCTCATTATACATGGCGTGTTTAATCTCACCTGAAAAATGATCAGTCTGGCAATTACGCGAGGCGGTCGGTCTCTTTTCATCTGAAGCACTGGCATAATTAAATTCATAGACAATATTATTAGAGGTGACAGGCTGTTAGGCTACCACGTGTAATTGACTCTTACCGTTAGAAAACACATACTGACCTCTGGGAGAATGCTGCCACCTAGTGACCAAAATAGTACAGCTCTGCCACAACTAGCTGCAGAGCACTAGCAGTATGTTTACCAGTCATTTTTATAAGTTTACTCCTTTTTTCATTTTCTCACCAAGTAACTCTACAGTGTTTATGGAGATTACGTGTGATAATATTAACATTCCGTAAATGTAAAGACAGACTCTGTACATTGTCCCACATGATTTCTTAACAAAGAAACAGATTGTTTTGAAAATATGATATATCTTCCAGTTCTAAGACGGAGGGAAATTAAGTAACTAGTAACAGCATCACCTAATTTAAAATTGTGCAAGGAAATTCAGTAACTCTCTATAAGACCCACATTGTACAACTAAAACAGATATGTGACACAGCATTCACAACGTGGCACAGCGTGGCACAACGTTCAAAGGTGATCTCCGGTCAGATCATTTCAGTGGTCAAACTCCTTGTCGATGTACTTGGCTATAGTTGATAGCTGGACATTGCTTGTGCCTTCGTAAATAGTGCCTGAGAATGAAGAGAGAGCTTGTTAGAACAAAGGATGTTTTGTGCACAACAAGGTCAAACCTGTCAAACCGCCCCACTCAGTGGGCAAATCTGCAGCTTTCAGTCGTGTCACAAGGCAGCGGGTATGACGACGGGTGTTGAAAAGGACAGTGACATTTTGCCCTGACAATTGCTTTGGTGTGTGTGTTCATATACAGTACTGACTCTCTGAGGGGTGAAATTCCTGCAGAGTCGGATTACAGCCCTCGTCCCACCACCCCCAGTGAGATCCAATCACTAACAGGTACAGATGACCTTCCCACTGCCCAGGGTTTTGTCTTTTCCTCACTGTAGCTTTTACTGTAGTTTGATCTTGCAGACACAGTAAGACAAACAACAGTCGTAAGACTAGAAATGTGAGTTCAACGGCTCGTAATCTCACCAATTTTACAGTCTCTGTAGTATTTCTCTATGGGATAGTCCTTAGTGAAGCCAACACCTCCCATCCATTCAATGCATTTTGAAGTTGTTAGTGTTGCAACCTAAGGAAGACAGAACGTGACAGAGCTGTAAGTTATCAGCTGAAAAAATATGATTCACTGAAACAAAGAGATAAACAATTATAAACAATTATCAATGATTAACAACTTCCCTCAGGGGATCAATAAAGTAACTTCTGCATCTGAACACTGGCCCCTATCAGAACCATTCATTTGGACTATTTTAGGTGTTAAATTATTTTCTGGATGCTTTGCATGCTTATTCAAGATGTCAAGATGTATAACCAAAAGTTGGTCATACGAGTCTAGCTGTAAATCTTGCTAATGAATCATGTTTAAATATTTAAACAACCGGCTGTTGAGGTGATGAGTCTTTAAAAGAGTTTTTAATAAACCCCAGTGCCATATAATAAATTGCAAAAATGCTGCTTTATTATATGTCATGCAATGTGAAAGGTGAGGCAGATTGTTGCTAAATATTTTAGGTAAGGCATGAAAATGGCAAAAAAGTTTATCACAAGAGTAAAATGTACCCAAGCAATTGATAGAAATGATAGCACAGAAAGAAAATAACTGCATCTAATGTTTGATTATAATGTTCGATTAAATATCTCTGTTAATGATGCAAAAAATATACACACCAGCTACAAAACGTTCAGATAAGAAAGTAAATATTCTACACTGGTTCAAGCCCAAGGACAACTGTGGATACCAAATCTGAACCAAATATCTTGGTTTAAAACAGTTGTTTTACAAGGTGATTGAAGGAACTCACCTCTGCCGTGAAGTATTTAGCCATGCAGGCTTCCTTGATGAAAGGCCTCCCAGATTCTTTCAGTCGAGCAGCGTTGTACGTCAGTAGGCGAGCTGCTTCAATCTGTGTTGCTACATTGGAGACTTGGTGCTGCATGCCCTGGAAAATGCACCAAACACACAAGAAGTCACTGAGCAGGAACTTATAGAAGAGGTTGAGAGACAAACCCCGAAAACCAAGAGCAGAATAAAAGTCGGTGCTCACCTGAAAGTCAAAGATACGTTTTCCAAACTGCACCCTTTGTCTAGTGTAAGGAATCGTGTGGTCAAAACAACCCTGGGCTAGTCCGAGCATCTGAGAAACCAATATTGGCTCATGAAGTATTTGAATCAACTACAGGAACTTCACATACAGATCAAGAGCTGTTTTACCTGAGCAGCAATGCCTATTCTTCCCTCATTCAGCATTCCAATGGCATATTTATAACCGTGGCCGACCAGTCCCAAAATGTTCTTTTCTGGTACCTACAGTTGGGATCAAAATGTCAGAAACAATCAAGGTGTGAATGAGGTTTTCATTGGTTCACCCCAGGTTCTCTAGTCTCTGAGCCACAGTCCAAAACAATGTACAATAAGGTTATTTGAGAAGACTAAATGGACCATGTGTGCGAGTGTCTCTCTATATTTGTGGCCCTGTGATGGACTGGTCCCCTGTGCACCCCTGCCTGGCCAATGACTGTTTGGACTGGCTCCTCTTCACTTTTGAAAATGATCTATTGGTAGAAAATGAATAAATAAAGGGCGTGGAAGTACCTTAACATTGTCAAAGTTTAGTGGGCAGGTAGAAGACGCACGCAGACCGAGCTTGTTCTCCTTCTTGCAAATCTCCAGCCCCTCAGTGTCCCGGTCCACAATGAAGCAGGTGATGCCCTTGTATCCCTGTCAATCACAAGTCTTGGGGTTTTCTACTGAGTAAATTGAAGTTCCTATATGAACATTTTGTGTGTAGTGTGCCGGGTTTCCTAAAGTCGAATATGTGCCGTGGCTCACAACAGATTGGGAAGCAATGTTTAATGTTAAACTCTCTGAGCAAAGACATACAGAGTTAACAGAAACAGTTACTCACAGCAGAGGCATCCACGTTGGCCATAACCAGGAACACACCTGCATGCTCTGCATTACTTATCCACATTTTAGATCCATTAATTATGTAATAATCGTTGTGTTTGTCAGCCCGTGTCTTCAGCGAGAAGGCATCACTTCCTGACTCTGCCTCTGAAAGGCAGAAGCTTCCAATCTGTAGAATACATAGTTGAAAAACCATGAATGTGGTTAATACAAATCTTAAAATTAGAAAAGTTTCTGTGACATAACAGCATGCATTTGATCTATAGATTTCGATTTACAAAAGGTAAGATGTCACATTACTTACCATGTCCGTTGATAGTCTGGAAAGGTACTGGTCCTTCTGAGCCGGGGTGCCCAGTTTGGAAAACAGTGTGTTTATCAGCGTGTTCTGGATATCACAGAGAACAGCCACAGATGGATCCACCTTCGCCAACTCCTCAATGACCAGAATGGAGGAAAAGAATGTAGAGCCAGTCCCACCATAATCTGGGTCAATTTCTACGCCCATGAGCTGTCAAATTTTGATATACAAAATATTAATAGAAACAAAAACAAAAAAGGAAGCAATTCAAATGTAATGGACCTCTGTTGCACAGTTGAAGGTACATACACCCTGTTCAAAGAGAGATTGGATGACCTCCTTGTCCATGGCGGAATTCTCGTCCATCTTTGAAACAAATGGAGCGATGCGTTCTTGTGCATATTTCTTCACTGTCAGAAAAAAATACAACATGTATGAGTTTCTAACACTAGTGTCAACAACAGGACACGTGATAACTACAAAAACATTCCTATTTGGAAGCACAAACAGATGAAGGCAGAAGAGATGCTTCAATGGTTTCAAAAGTGAATAGTTACAAAAGTTTTCTACATCTAGTCACCCATTTATATACAGGAATGGTAAGATTATGCTTAGTGCAACTGTATGTCTTTTTTTGTCTGTAGTGAACAAAGTAACTTCTTACCTGCTTCCCTCATCATGGTCTCCTCCTCTGAATACGTCTGTAGTGGAGGGGAAGAGACCACACCTGCTGCTTCGGCTGGGACAGGTGTGGTGGACAAGCTTCTCAACCCTGCCTGCCATGTGTTCCATGGCCGCAAGATCTGCCTGCAGCACTAAAGTAATGACAGAGGACAATATGTACAAAACAAACATACTTTAGTCATTTTGTGTTACAGGTAGTAATATATTATGTGATGGTCATCAGTAGAAACACTGTCAGATAGTGTGGTAACATTTATTGGTGGTTAAAAAAGGATTCAGACAGCTGTGTTGATATGATAGATAGATAGAAATATGTATACAAACACATATACATGCACATATATACACACAAAATACCCATCTAAACATTATATAGACACAATTAAAGAGACGCAATCTAGGCATTTCCCTAGAGGTTCAATTCCTGTCTCGTGGCTAGTTGCTAGCTTTTAAACCTTAATGTTTTTAATATATTTTATTCCAGCAGACTAAACTATTTGACGAGGGCAGTACTTCTGGAATCACAGATATAGTGATTACATTTATATATCTATTTTAATATTTACACGAACAAAATCTTTACTCTGTACTAACTTCCGAGGGCTAGCATCTGGTAACTGGTGTTTTGTACGAGTGTTTTTAATGGAAGATTCTGCAAGATGTTTAAAATATCGGTTCAGTAACTAAGAAAATTAAACAAAAAAGACGCATGCGTTTGTTATTACCTGTGGTAAAGTCCTAACCAACTGGGCGGCCATGCTGTACTATACAATGTTTACATGCTGTTGTACAACAGGACGTGACGTAGATGCCCAAGAGGACAAACGCTAGTTATAAAACAATCTTGGTTTAATTGGAAAAATGAATTTGTCTAATAAATTGTTATTTTTAAATAATCATAATGTAAAGGAAACAATTACCATGATTTGTTTTTGCCGTAAACGTCTTATTGCTCTATTTGTTACCAACGATAAGGGAAGGCAACAGAGGCGTTTGTGTCGACACGGAACACAGACGTATCAGCACAATCAAGCAGGCGTTGGTTCCCACGGAAACTGTAACAAATAATTTAACCGAATGGTTTAAGTTTCACATGCTTGACTATCTTATGACTATCTTATTTGGTCAATAGCAGGTAAGTAGTATATTTATTGCATTGTATTGTGGTGTCAAATTGTGTGACGTCTATGCGTTAAAGAGATAAACGCGTTTAACTGATAGCTAGTGTGGCTAGCTGGTGACGGTTATTATCTGTTGTACTGTCAAAGCAAAATTGTTTTATAGGTAACATTGGCGTCTTTTTGTTGTTGTTGTAGGTTAATAACAGGTGGGAAGATATGGAAGAGATAAAAACTGAGCCCGTGGATTTTGTAAAGGAATTTCAGGAATACCTGACACAGCAAACCCAGCATGTCAACATGATCTCAGGCTCTGTTTGTGGCGAGAAGGAGGCGGCGGAGACGTTCCAGACAGGTGGGATGGGAGGAAGCCTTACACATTTAAGCATCAAAGCATTTTTATTCAATAAGTAAGAAGATGATGGAGTGTTGGTATGTCTGTCTGCAGCTGCGCCCAGGGTTGAGCAGAACGGTCTGGATCCACCGTCGGTAGAAGTGAGCTTGTCCATGGAGGAAGGGTCAGATGTTCAGATGGACGGCCTGGAGAGAACCTGTGATGGAAAGTACAAGTGTAGCTACTGCAGCTATGCCAACAAGGGCATGGCTCGTTTAATAGAGCACATCCGCATCCACACAGGTCAGTGTTTCCACTGCAGCTATACTCTAAGGAAAAAATATGATTAACGCTATGCTTATAATTATAAGACAACATAAACTATTAAGGTAACCTACACTTTACCTTGAGCTTGTCTTCTGAAAGTGATAGTTTTATTAATAGCTACCACGCAAAAAGAAATAAAAATCAATCTCAAGATCCTTACTTGCAGATATTTTGTGTTCCAACCTCACAGGTGAAAAACCCCACCGCTGTCAGCTGTGTCCATTCGCCTCAGCATACGAGCGTCACCTGGAAGCTCACATGCGTTCGCACACAGGAGAGAAGCCGTACAAGTGCGACCAGTGCGCGTTCCGCTGCAGTGATCGCAGCAACCTGTCTCACCATCGTCGCCGTCGCCACAAACTTCTGCCCACCAGGGTTGTTCGCTCTGCTTTCTCCAACAAGAGGATTCTTAGTTCACTGCAGAAGAGGACAGGCTCACTGGGCTTCAGCAGGCGACTGCTCCTCAATTTGAACCCTGGCTCTTTGCCTAAATCAGGTTATTTAAATGACTTACCTCATAAAATCCACTATAATTTGAACAGCAGTGAGTATAAGAACCATCCCAAGGTGAACGAGGATGATGTTCACGACAGGGGAGCTAATGGTTTGACGTTTAATAACCCACTGGATCAGCTATCTACACTTGCTGGCCAGTTAGCTGACTTTCACCCTGAGTCTCAGACACTAGAATCTCCTGACAGGGCTTCCTTAGAAGACGAGAAGCCTATCCTCATTCGCCAGGTCTCTGGTGAAGAGGTCTCACTCTGTTCAAATGGAGTTCAGACACCAGCACCTCCCTCCTCTGGCCACAGGGATTGCAGTCCAGTCTCTGGACTATGCTTTGAGAATGGCAACGCTCCACCTGCCAGTGTTAGTGACAGTCAGTCCAGCACACCATCTCCTACCCTGACCCTGAGTGAGCAACAACTCATGTATAAATGCCAGCACTGTGATATTAATTTTTCTGACAACATCCTTTACACTATCCACATGGGCTGTCATGGCTATGAAAATCCCTTTCAGTGTAACATCTGTGGACACATGTGTTCAGACAAATATGACTTTGCCTGTCATTTTGCCCGTGGCCAACACAAAAAGTGAAAATTGAAATGGAAAAAATAAGTAAAATTGTGTTTTCTTTACACTGTATTTAAACGTGCTAATTTACATTTTTACTAAAAATTATTTTATGACAAAAATGGTGCAGCTATCAGACTGGACTGTCTTCAACAATGTTGTTTCAGTGAGATTTCACTGTTACCAGGGTGACATAAATGTGATATAAATGCTTCAGTGAGATTTCACTGTTACCAGGGTAGCATTTATATCACAAAAGGCAGCTATGTAAACCTATTAAAAACCACTTACTAAACTAAACTACTAAACTAAAACATATGTTTGACACATTTAGCTTTTAGCAACTTTTGTTCCAAAGTTAACTCAGTTTGTAGCGTCTTACAATTTTGACAGATGTTGTTTTGTTTATTTAAAACGTATTCAATGAATGCTGGGGTACAATCAGCCAGTCATATACAGTATAGGCCAGATATGTTGTTTTCATCCATGAAAAACCATTCTGTATTTATCAGCTGTTTTAGGATAATATTTATTCCTGAAGAATGTGTGTTGGTTAAACACTGTAAACTGTTAAATTCGGTGACTGATGTTGTACATTAACTATGTCATAGGTTGTTTTTATATAAATAGTTTGAATCTTGAGATACAACTCTTTTGATAGTTGAAATACATAAAAAGTGGTTGATCCACTTTTATCTCTATTAAATGGCCTTTTGTAGGTCAAAAATGATATTCCAATGCAAATTATGGTCAATTTAGCTGAAAAAGTAATGAAGCCCACTTACCTTTAACTTACCTTTTAACTCTAGCCCCAAAGTTGAAAACTCTATCAACATGATAAAATAATAACATAAACACCTTCTCTATCTGTATAGACACCATTGACAGTAGCATTACCTGTTTAACATTATTTCACCTCAGTTCCAACACCCATTATAATTTTGAATGTATTTACATTAATTAAGGTGTTTCCCAGTTTAATTGTATGGACTTGAACAGCTTTGTGTTATTTTCAAACTAAGTGGACCTTGTGGTATCAAAAAAAATTTTCTGTACAAATCAAAAATGTAACTCACTTGTTAATAAAAATTACATTTTTATTTATAAGCATTAACCTTATTACATTTAAATTTTACACACAAGTGAATACAATACCATTATTTTACAAATAATTTGAAAAGATTTGTATAAAATCTACTCATGATGTGACAAAGTGACATTTGGTTGGTTTAAACATATTTAGGACATACGATTGTCTCCAAGAGTTCCTTCCTGCTACGATCAAAAACATCTACAGCTCTTTTCACCACACGCTCCACGTCGATGTCTTCTCCTTGTGTAAGCTCCATTTCCTGTAGAACATTTTCTCGCAGGTTGCGTAGAAATACGGCCTTGGATTCACCTAATTGAGCAGCCAGGAACCTCATGCGCTCGGGTGACACATGATTTTCTGAGAACAGGGTAAACAATGAATACACAGTGGAAGAGAAGCAGCAGCATACTCAGAGTGTGATGTCCTGACCTCTGGCTGTCTTCATAGCTTCTGAGATCAGACGTCGACAGGCCTGGTCAGCTTGGTGAACCACACTGGTGGCACATTTTAAGCGGTCAGCTTCCTGAATAATTTAAGAACACTGCTCAAACCACTGCTCCTGAATTTTGCATATTATAAAAAAGGATTCAAGTTCAACAACTAACCCTTTGTTCACTGCTGTCTTCTATTGGGCTCAGTGGGTTTTTTAGTGAAGAGGATATTAACTGGATCATCTTCTGGCTGAGAAAATCAAAGGAAAAGTGAGAAAAGCACCAAATACCGCACTCCTTGACTTATGACATTTTTCTACTGCCTTACATGTCAGATGAGGTTAATTTGTCTGTAGTGTCAAGGGAAAGACTTTGTTTTTCCCACAAGTTCTTCTGTGGGTTTGGGAACTCCAAACGCTTCTCCATGTCCAGTATAACCTCAGTGGGAACAGGTTCAGCCCTATTCTGGTTTCTGCCTATACAAGTCTTCAAATCACAGTGTAGGTACACCTGACAAAACCCAAGGGAATCTACAAATACAAGCGACACCAATTCAATGAAAGTTGCAATATTTTGACCTAATTTTCAATGTTTACTACAAGGTTTGTATTAACATATTCAATTTTAACATTAAGACCTGCTGTTAAAATAATGATCTTAAAGGTATAAAATTAGGAGCATTGTTCAAAACAGTTGACAGAAGACAAAATACGTCTGATCATTTCTGCAGAAAAAAAAACGTCTCTTACATTTTCTTGCTAATTGGTACACTTCATATCTCATGCTTGGATAATAGAAATTGTCATCCAAAAGGAAAAGCATGGGTGATTGGTCTGATAGAGCATGGTCCAAGTATCCAGACTGCATCAGACCACGGACACATCGTTCCCATGCCTCCGTGTTGATGTGGCAGCTGCTCGCAGGTTCTGTCACCACCTCCTCTCTTGTCTTCAGGAACTGATCAATGCACTGCAGCACTGCATGTCTGTGTAACTTCCAGTCAGTGTGCTGAAATATCAGAAATACCTTATTTGTGTTGTGTTTTCAGCTGACAAAAACAGAACTCCGAATATCACAACTCACAATCTCTTTCTACGTTAAAATACCTTAGTCTCTTGGCTAAACATTTCTACTTAGCATCTACAAAACTAAAAAAGACTAAAGTAATATTTAATATAGAATAAATGATTATATTATAATTCTTGTCAGGATGCAGACACTTAACAGACTCGTCTGAATCTGCAAACAGGCTTACCATCTGTGGCATCTCCTCGTTGTCCTGCACGGCCTTGGTCTTAAAAGCATTCCGGGGGATCAGTTCATCGTAGGGAACCACGGTTGCTCTCCATCCGTGCTGAGCTGCTCTACTGAGGACCGTGCGGGTCAAAGTAGATTTTCCTGAAGCAGGAAGACCGCAGAGGACACACAGACAACCCGGAGCCCGGTAGAACCTTGTTCTATCCTCTGAAGTCATTGTCTATCAGAGAAAACCTTTAAAAACTGACACTTTGCCCATAGTGCTGTGTTGTGTTGTTGTTGTTGTGGTTTTTAGCCATGGAAGGCTGCGCCTGTAAAGCGACTTCCGCATTCGTAACAGGAAAAAGTCATACCACTTCACGACATTGACTTTTCAAAATAAAACCCAACTTGCGAGGCGAATAATTTGAAGTAATTTAAATGTGTGCGAGTTAGCAATGTACGGAGCCTCTGTATAATATAAACAGGGGCTTGCTGTAAAATATAAAAAACAGATCAAACAGTTATATAAAGTATGTTGTAAATGTAAACACACCATGCTGTTGAAAATCTGACGTATATTTCACAAATCTGCAAAACACATTATCGTCCAACAAATGTGAAAGGAATTGATACATTAATTACAATCGAGAAAAATGTATGAACCAATCTTTTAATGTTTTTCCAGAATTATAAAATGATTGTCTTTTATATTTTATTTATATTTTAAATATGTGCAGTGACTATTAAACAACTAATAAAATACATGTGAAAGAAAATACTTTTTCCATTTTTGTCCATCACCACCTAATACACATACCTATTAAGGTGCTGAATCACAGTGATTTAAAACCGTCTCTTCATTTTCTGTTATCCCGCAGTAAACTTAATGGATTCACATAACTGACAATAGTCAAAAAATAATCAACTTTGTGGTTGTTTTGGTGGAATAGGCTTAGGGACCCCTGGTCCTTGCCTTGGTGGTGCAAGGTTTGAACTGGCAGCCTTTTCATCCATACTCCAGTAGTCCAGATCTCCATATCTGAAACTGAGGTCAACACAGTGTTTAGTTTAAGTTTCATTAGCTGCACAGGAGGGTGTATTTAAAAACTAGATAAATATACACTGGTCCATACTCTGATATTGGAGCTCCAGTAGCTGAGGAACTTCCAGGCTAAACAAAATGTGAAAACAATATGTGTTAAATTATGTTGAATAAAAAAATACTATATAAAATAAAACAAAACAATAATAGTTACAACCTCAGGGTGTGTCTGTGCTGGTGGAGGCGTTGGAACAGCTGATACGCCATTTCTTTCATTTGTATTACCAGTTTTGGGATTATGTGACCTGTTAAAAATGTTTGAAAAAAGGATCATGGAAATAATATACATACTGTTTATTACATATGGAATAAGACAGGAACATAGAATATTATTTACATAATTACATTAACAAAATGAAATGGAAGAAGTTAATGGAAGCTACAGTAAATAAAACAATGACAAGAGAAGAGTGAAAGCCTTTTTAACATAAATAAAAGAATATGCAATTTTAACATAAACCAAAACTAATTGCATTGTTAAGAGTGCATTTAAATGATGGTGATGACAAAAAGGTATTCAACCTATAACGCCTGAGTTCAAACTGAATAAAATCAATCAAGGAAGGATACTGTCATGCGTGTTGTGTGAACGCTTACCTGCGTCTTTTCCTTAAGCAGGGGTCAAAGGTGTTCCTCCTGAAGACGAAAAGTAGCACCAGAATAAGAAGCACCAGTAAAGGAACCACCAACAGGAAAAAGATCAACAGGCCATTTCTGAGGGAGTAGTCTGCAGTCAACACAGTCAATTTTATTTTTTCACAACAATGCAATCTTCTGTGGATTGTTGTTTTTACAGAAGCACTGAAAATATAATCTCTTTTAAAGTGTCTGTCCTCACCTATCTGTGCTGGACCACTGTCTATACTGCCACCTCTGCCTGAAGTGGCACAGTTCGGTGGGGCCCACCCATTATTACAGTGACAGTGTCCTTGATCATTACATGACTGTGGGGAAAATATCACAGTTGAACAGGCAGACATTTAAAGCAGTAATTAATTACTGACTGGAGTAGGGGAAAAAAATGCAGGTTTACCCCCCGGCCGTTGCAGGTGGTCTGTGAGTTGCAGTCTAAATCAGGCAATAGCGCAGTTGCATTAACGCACTTGAAGTCTAAGCACGTCTGCAAGGGAAGAATTATGCCTTAATTAGCATTTGCAGTTAGTCACGGTACGTCATCATGTCCGCACTTCTACTGACAACAGTAGTAGTCACATGAACCATAAACCAAACAAACAGGTTCCAAGTCACGGTCCTCATTTCTGGTTTGCACACTTGTTAAAAATAGACTCTCACCTTTCCCGGAGCACAAGGGCTGCCAGGGTTCACGTAGGCAGGATCCAACACATCTGTGCCAAGGTTGAAGTCTGCGTTGACACAAGACGACCCGTCAACGATCTGGATGCTGACATGGGCGTTAGGCGGGGGATTGTTGACGTCAACATTGGTGCATTGCACCTTCCCACACATGGAATTTCTGTAAAGCAGAATCAAGCAAAATATTTGTTTATAATTATTTTGTATTATAATAGTTGAATAGCAAAGTATGACTTGTTGCTTACATTAAAAGCACTGTTAATACAGTGTCTACTCACGAGACAGTACATTTGATGTAATCTCCTTTGCTGGTTATTCCACAGTTTCCAAACTTGTTTCCCTGAACATTTGCATGTGTAAAACAAATATCTGCTGCCTTTCTTGCTGGATCTGTCAAAGAAAGAAAAAAAACAGCTGTGAGAAAAACATTTTATAGTCAAATCTTAGATCAGACTCCGACGTATCCCTGATTAAGATTACTATTGAATGTTATTAAATATTTTTGAACCTGGCGCAAAAAGATGTTTGCACTGGAAATCATATGTTTGGCATCTGCCTTCATAGCAGTAGGCAGCATTCTCTTCACAAGGCAGTCCGTCCATGATGTAAAAATCGTTGGGACAGAAGGCAGCTTTGCCATTGCAGTATTCTGGGAGATCACAGGTGTCAGCGGGATTTCTGCACAGTGTTCCAGCTACCTTGATCTGAGAACAAAAAGAAAAACTTTAATGAAGCTGCTTGTCAAAATATGAGCATTTAAAAGCCTTTATTAATCATTTTTTTCAAATACGTATTAGCTGATGTACATAGATGGTTATTACCATTGAGAAGAAACCCTCCTGGTGTAAGAGTTCACACCAGGAGGGTTTCAATGGCATTGTTTCATATCCAAATTCCTCCGATGGAAACTCCATTAAAATTAATTTCAGGTCTACACAGTGAAACAGTTTCACAAGCCACGCCATAAACAAGACCCAAACCAACCTGACAGTTCTCACAGCACTCTCCATGAGCACAGGCAGACCCACGAGTAAATTTGCAAGTGGCCGCATCACAGCATTTGGTCTTGCATTCCTGTGACATATATGAAAAGAACCCTTACTAGTATGACAAAAAGTGCAAACAGGATTTAACATGTAATGACATGTATTTATGATAATTATAGATGTAATAATTATCATAAATATAATATAATAATATCAACATTAATGTAGGAAACAGCCATCTAAAAAAACCCTGAGTTTGGTAGTTTTCCCTGTGTGTGTGTGTCTGAAAGACTCAGTTCTCTACCTCTGGTTTGCCACAGTCACAGTCTTCTCCTTTGTCCACCCGCCCATTGCCACATTCGGGTGTGCCAATCACGTCTGACGGCGAGGGCTCGTTCCTCAGACAAACACCTCCTCCACTCAGGACAAGCCTTTCAAAATCTTCTTCACTGCAACTGCTAAAAGTGGTAGATCCACTGCGGAGTAACAAAGAAAGGCCATGAGAGAAAAGTAAATTTGAACAGGTCTGGCATCAGTAAACAATACAACTTTTAAGAGTGTGCAGTATATGAAAACATTAAGAACAACTGTGTAGCAGTAGAAATATTTAGGAAAATAAAATAATTTTCTTAAATATAATAATAAAAGCAGTGCAAAATATTTTTTTTATAAAACTGCTTTGGAATAGATGTTTTACCCTGCACCAGCTGACATGATGCAGCTCTTCCCATCACAACTGCAGCGGCTGTCATCATGACCCATACCCAGGTTATGTCCCATTTCATGTGCCAAAACCGTAGAGAAAAAGGGCAGGTTTGACTCACTGAACTGTAACAGAAAGATATCAGAAACAAGGATATAAGTAGAACAAAGGAATAATACATTTTTAAGCTTTTAAAGTTACAAAATGTTCAGTTTGTATTTTTTTTCATCATTGCCTAGGGCATCGTGTGATCACAAGACTTGTTTTTTTTACCAGGAATCCAAACACAAAGTCTTTGAAGAAGCCATGACATTATGTGAGTTTGAGTCTTTGCCTGCATTTTGAAATTGAGCTGCACTTATAGTAGAGTCTCAGCATGAATAATGCAGACTGTATCAGTTTCTACACAATAGCATGTGATGCATAAGTGCCATGGTGTCGGCTGATGTGAGAGACTAACCACGTTGATTCCTCCAGACGTCGCTACGGAACAGACGGTACCCACAAAGGCCATTCCTAAAACATTTCCTCCATATGGCTTAGGCTGGCCACTGGCAAACAAAACACAAGCCGCAAATTAGACTCTACGATCATACGATCATTGTCCCGTGGTTTGCCATATGACAAAACAACTTACACGATCAGCTGTCCGATGTCATGCCTGATCATTGGTATGAGGGTTTCCTTTCTCCACTTAACAAACCTCTGCAACACTTCACCTGCACTGCCTTCCACGTCAAAAGGATTAGTGTCTTTGAAAATCACCAGGCCCACAAGCACCACACGGATGTTCATTGGTTTGTAATACTGAAATATATATGGAAATAAAATAAAAACAACAATTTATTGAAACATCAAACTAATAAGATTGCTATTGTTTGGTTTACTGTAGACACAAATGAAAATCTTACCCCATCCAGTAAATTTGCCATTTCCACCATCTCTTCCCGTAAGGCCGTCTCATTTTGTTTCAACACTTTATACTGTAAATGGAGTAAAAGTAAGAAAGTAAATACACAAAAATGACTTTATTAATTTAAAAAAACTGCTATGAAAGACAGGTAGCAAAACGGGTATGGCACAACAGCAATGCTTCAACACCACTGGTCCATTTAATTCTCCAAAACTAAGGTCAAAGGTGAAACTCTTATTTATGGCATTATTTACACATCAGGCCTTTGCTAATATGAACTGTTACAAATGGCTGTACTGATTGTACAGGATGCTAATGAGTCAGTCTGTCTGTGGGATACACACACTGACCAGCATTGAGGCTAAAAGCCATCAAGCAGGTTTACATTATAAACAGAAAACACACACTCACCCTGAGGTTGTCAGCGACCAATGCCAACTCCACATAACTGGTCTGAGGTAAACTACGCCTCCTCTGTTAAAACAAGAAATAGAAAAAAAACAATAGGAAGCGCACCGTCAACCCTCAGTCCATTTCCATCTTGAAATGTTACCACAAATGTTATCAATGTGGCCAAACTGACCCGCAGCAGTGAAGTGAGAGTGTGAGCTGGGTGAAATGGTTCCTCATGGTGTGTTGACTCAGCCTCATCGATGACTCCGCAGGTAACAGGCTCAGACTCAATGTCCCTCAGTCTATACAAGATGTGATCATTATTCACAGACTTGGGCAACGGTTCAAGTCCATAGGTCTCATTTCCGAGCATGATAACACCCCTGCACAGAATAGGTCACATCAGAGACAACATTTGATTAACTGCTCCTGGACAGTGTTAAAAACATGAACAGCTGTCTGGTTGCTTAAGAGGAAAATTGATAACTTTGGTGTATTTATTTGACCGATTAAAACATATTTAACAGCAACAATGTGCTTTGGTGACAACTAAAGATGCAGTTTGTAGAAAATCATAAATCAAATAATGTTTAAAGTCATTACCAGGGTATAAATACAGCAACTTAAACACTGTCAACACAAACAAAAGAGCTTTTTTTAAACCTCAGGCCAGAGCAGGTGCTCAGTGCCACCACGGAATCCTTAAATCCCTCCACCTCTCCATGGTAATAGCAATGCACCTGGGAGAGATGAACAGAACAGTTAGAGGGTTGACTGTCAGACCATCCTTGGACGTTCCAGCGGTGCTGGTGTCAACTTACATGTGTCCTGGGTGATGAATTGTAATTATCCGCAGAGTCACGTGAAATCTGAACAAAGTTTGGATGTAAAAAGTCCCTGACGGCAACAGAAGAAGCAGTAAAGTATTGTACTGTATAACTGAATCGCTTGCAGTATACAGTATATCAGAGAGTAATGTCAGCATGGTGGTACTACCTGTTAACCTTTAGATGCAGAAAGTGCTGCCTGTTGTTTATGATGAGGGCAAATGACACTGTCTCTTCTTCATAACTCTGAATTTTGCACACAAAAAAATTAAGCTTATTATTAGTATTTGTGTGTATGGTAAAAAAATACTTTTTATTTACTGAAATATTATTCTTAACAACCTCTTCTGACTGAAATGTTTTGTAGATGCTCCTTGCTCTTCTGTGAATCCGGTGAGGATTTACAACGGTGTATGTTGTGAGTTTGGATGTGAAGTCATTCAAGGACTCTGGAAGAAAAGGTGTTACAAAAAGTGTAAATTATTGATTCTTATATCTGAGGATACATGTTGAAATAATGTAATGTACATATTATTGAATCACCTATATAACATGCAAAACAAGTATTTCCTGGAAAATCGCTGAGGCTACAGAACAAGAAGGGCAGGCTCTATTACTTCACAATCTAAGAGAGGGTCTGTGAGGGCGAAACAATAAGCAAACCTGGGTCTCACCTTGGCTGCAGATCATACAGATGAGGAGAAAGAAAAAAAAGACGAACGAAAAACTTCTGACCATGATTGTGGTATTTTAGATCATGATCTCAGTTCTGAGCTACGGTCATTCTGCAGTGCACTCGTGACTCAGTTTCCCGAAGCGCGTCTTCATACCCGGATAGGTGCGGCCTGCAACAGGTTCTTCTTACCTAGATCCTCCCCAGGTACAAAGGAGGAGGAGCCCTGACCAGAAAAAAGGAAATATACACGGGGATTCAACAAATACTTGTCATGTTCATTTATATATTTAAGGACATAAATGGTATAAACAACACAATTTCCTCATATGCCACGTTAAAAAACGTAGCCACTATCGTATTTTTGATCCACTAAGCAGCAAACGTTGTTTGTTGTTATGGTTTTTTTTTTTTTTTTGCAACAACTAACGTGCAAATCATATTTGTGTCATATTGTTTTATTCCCAAACAGTTCCGTTTTATTTAATATTGCGCTGCTCTTACGCACACCACGACATTTCGTTGTAAAGTGTAAAGTGGATGTTTTAGAAAGTAGCAATAATTGGTTAAGTATATAAAAACGTGCTTATTGGATTTTTATCATAAAAAGTTTTTTATGGTTGACATTTTTATGGTTATAGTATATAGTATATGGTTTCATTTAATTATTATTACGGTGAAGATAAAGAGCCAGCATGGCATTAAAACAGGGTTATCGGGCTGCTTGGAAAACACAATAAAAATACTTTTAATAATTGTTTTTATGCTAATCCCATTCAAAAATGTTCTTCTAACTGGAACATTTTAATCCAACATCATTCGGTTTGTTCATCTATTTTAAATGAGTTATTCTTCTGTTCGCCCCATTCGGTTGTTAGGTTTTTATTTTGCGCCCTTGATGTTTTATTCTTTTGAATTACTTATGGAGAAAGTAATTCTGACATTTTATTTGATTTTATTTCATTAAAAATACACAGAGTCGGGTCTTCGGGAATCCGGGTGCCGTATAACGTGACGTCTTCCTAAGATATCGCGTTATTTCGGTGGTTATTACGTCATACACACTGCGGAAGTGTTTTGACGCTGAGAAAAACAAAAAGTACATTTGTCCTGGTTTGTAACATTATCCATCCATCCATCCATCCATTTTCATCCGCTTATCCGTTACCGGGTCGCGGGGGCAGCAGTCGCCACCCAGATCACATTGCAGTGGGATTAACCGCCCTAACCGGGATTCGAACTTGTCCAGGAGGTGAACCCTGGGGTTCCACACCAATGACAGAGACATTGCCTCTGGTCCAAAGCGCCACGGTTTGTAACATTATAAAAGATATTATTTAAAGTACTACGGTTTGTTTCCTAACTTATAACAGAAAGTATATCGTATATTCAGGACCCTATATAATCGCTATAAGAATATGTTTAGGTGTAGATACTTACTCGTTCTCTAAAATGTTCTCACGCGGTGATGTTCTTTCCAAAAGTTAATTGTAATTGTAATTGTAATGCATGGCTGCAAGCCAAAGTTACCGAATAACAAGAATGTGAACAAACGTTTTATTTTAATTTGTTAAGCGGTTGAAGATCCACAGACTATCTGACAAACTAACCTTGAACCTTTAATTTGCTTTGCAACCAGTGCGTGCAGGCACTTTACTTAATGAAAAATATATAATTAAGTAATCCATAAACGTTTCTTTTGAAAGTTGTAGCCTCGGTTATTTGTTTTGTCAGTCTTTGTGTTTTAAAATACACAAGGAAATAGTAGTAACAAACAAGTAGTAACAAACAAGTAGTAAAAAAAAAACAAGCAAACTATACAAAACTATAACTATACTTTACAAAATATAAAGGCAGATGGATATGCTGCCAAAAAATGGGTCTGGTGGATTACGACGTGTAAGGAGAAATGACCCTCGCGAAAGAATCAAACCAAGACAGCAACAAAAGTTTAGAAATACACTCAGACACTGGTTGATAAATACACAGACAAATGACAGTGCAGAGGAAAACGGGGAAAGTGAAAACGATGGAGACATTACAGATGATGGTGCTGGTCAGAGTAGCTCTGCTCAGGTACTGGACAGTCACTCTGAGGACCAAGCTGCAGAATCTGACATGGATGAAGAAACCCAGCTCTTGATGCCACAAGAACTAGAAGGAGACATTTCAATGTCACAAGCCTCCACTGACATGGCAAACGGTGAAGCTGTGCAGAATCACAACCATGATGGATTAGACAAAGGAGATGTGTCCCCGGCAACCTCAGTGGGCTTAGTCAAACACAAAACCAAAATAACAGATTTCTTCTCAGGAATCTCATCGTCACACCCTGCTGTGAAACGTGCAAGGGTGGAACAATTTCCAGAGAAGCAGGATGACGACAATGACATCATTGCTGAAGTATCGTGGCTGGGGACACCAATCACTGAGCTCAAGAGAATGCCAGAATGTGGGGGATGGCTTTGTCCACTGAGGGATGTCCCTGATCAGCACACTGTGATGATAATGGTTTGTTTTTGTTCTCATGTTTTCAAATGCTTCTCTGAACTCAAACACATACATATCAATATCTTAGTCATCACCACAATATTTTTTGCAAGTTTCTGCCAATAGCAGATTATTGTAGGCATCAATTTTGCAGTAAATTGATAGTTTATTGGGTTGATGTTACCTGAATGTTTTATTCAGTGTTTATCAGTGTTACTATGATGAAGCTTTCAGAAAAATGTAGGTGCACAAGACTCAAAAGTTAACATCCATCATGTCAGTGATATCATTTGATATTTATCTTGCCTGTAACTAATATTTGTTTTATTGTTATTGTGATTGTTTGGTTTGGGATTTTATACAAATGTTGCCCTGGCTAACCACAGTCATTGTTATTCTTTTGTATTGACAGACAGACTCGTTAGGCAATGGCAGGGTTCCTGTTCCAGATCCTGCTCAGTTTTGTGACACGTGGGATGATGTTCATGTCAAGATGCCCTGTTCCAGCAGTAATTTGTTTCCTGTTGAAGATGAGGTAAAATAATTTAGAAGCAAGTGAGAAAACCTCTATCTTGAAGTTATTAATAATAATAATAATAATAATCAAAATAGTGTAAAAACATCACTTATGAGTGATCTCGTACTGCGTGTGATATTCATTTTTCAGCAAACACATATCAGTTGTTGTTTTGCAACATTAAAGTAATGTATGATATGTTGATATCCTCAGTATGCATTGCAAGACAGCTATTGTGTTGTATTGTAGCTATTTTATGTTTTAAACCTGATCTCAAAATAGCCTGCATAGCTGACTAAAGTTTTCCTCCTACAGGAAACACGTAAACTGCAGAATAAAAGTCGGTGGGAGTTGATCAAAGAAACTCTAAATAAAGACATAACAAATCCACTTGAGTTGAAGGTAAGCTTCCTATCTGCATCAGTTTATTTAGGAGACTAACACTCGTTTTGCTTTTGCTTTACACACTGTACAAGTGTTGTTACCAATTATTGTCACAAGATGGCATCGCACACCCATATAACGAGACACGCCAGTCATGCACGAATTATTTAATAATCAAACAGTGCGTGGTCAATAAAACAATTCGAAGGTTAATTCAGAACATTTTCGCCAGTTACTTCAATATAACTTTTTATTTTTACAGAAAGCAATACTGAAATACAGCCCCGCACATGCAAAGAAATGGGACTTCACGGCATTTCATTTGTACTGCACAAAGGTGAGAATCACTTTATTTTCTTTAGCACTATCCATGGTACGTAACAACGTTCCATGCTAAAATGTGACCACAGCTAGGGAAATATTTTTAGGACCTTAAATGATTCATTTTAGAAGTTCAGACAAATGAAACCTCAGCTGTCCAATAAGGACGCTTAACTGCCCAACAGCAGGCTTCATTTGGCAATGTGCCTCTTCCAGGTCTCAGGTCAGAGGGAGTGCTCAAGAGTCTGTGATTATAACATTTTAATTTGTCAGTAGTTAAAGTTGAGATTTTTCTCACTGTGACTGCTGTATAGCTGGTGTTGCAAAATAATCATATAAAAATATTACTTACTTTTTGGGCTTTTGTAACACTAATCAAAATGGAATTCATTTATTTCATATCTCATCCAATCTTGACATTTGTTTTGGAGGTTCAGATCGAAGGTTTATGTTGGATGGCTATGTTGTTTTAGGTGCTTGCAAAGTCATTTTATTTTCCGACCAAGGAAAAAATAGACCTGAACTGAACCTGATGGTCAGAGCGCAGTTAGTTCATTGTTCATTGCTCACGGATGTCAGTGTCCTCCCTGGTTTCATCCGAGGCATTTGAAGCCATCCATCATCTGTTTGTCTTGATGCACTCTGCTGTATCCTGTATGTGTGGAGAATCAGCGGGGGTTGTATTGCTGTCTGGCTTTGAGAAGACAAAGGGAATATTGCACTTGGAAAGATGGGCAGGGTTGTTGTTGTGACAGGATTGTTTCCAAATACAGGAAATAAAACCCATAGGACTGAACAAATTATTTTTCCATAAACAGTGGGAGCCCTGTGCTGGGATAGCATTATCAAGACTACATCACTTTATGCTGCATGATGCAGTAGCTCATGTCTCAGGGAGAAAAAGGTGCACCTGATGCTGGGGTGTCAAATGTCTTTCTGTCACTTTTGCACAAGAACAATAATGGATTCCGTGCAGGAGAATGTTGCATGGCTTCAGAGTTAAAATAAGTGTCTGCTCTTGAGAAATAATTTAATCCCTTACCTAAAGGTCACATTTAGTAACTTGTCAGAAACAAATAAGGCTTGCATTATACACCGGTGAGTGCTTTACTTCAGCCCGTGTGATGTTGAATCAATTGAGCGCTGCATGTTTGCCATAAATCATATTAGAACAGGAGTTCTATTAGATCAAATCTGAAGATGTTAAGAGGCTCTAGTTAAAGGCCAAGTCCTGCTGTTGAAGCTGAAGTCAGTGGCAAAATTAGATTTTTGGCCAGACTGCAAAATGTCACCACAAAGTATTGAAATAGCATTTGTTTATGGTGTGTTTTCACCTACAGTATTGATTAAAATATATATAAACAAGGGTTTGGTTATTCTGTAGCTCACCATTTTCCAAACAATTTTCTCTAGTGCCCTTTATGTAGATTGGGCTATTCCACCTCCTCCCCACTTTATGACACACTCACAGCCAGTGCTTCAAATTTCCACTGAACTCTGTGTGAAACTGTAACTCCTAAAAATTGCCAATAAAAAGAAGTGAAAGTACTAATGAGTAATTTGGCCTACTCTGTCCCCCTGCGGTTACCCTTCACCCCCAAACAGTGGTGCCCCCCAATTTGGGCACCACTGAAGTGACCCAAGGTGTATTGCCTGAGTTACAAATCTGTAAATAGTCCACACATACAGTCTACCACCTAAATTGTTCTACATATTTTTAAACATTTCCTTAGGACTACATATTCCTTCTATTGCTTGAAGAAAAGAAAAAAAAACGACTTAAAGCTTTGTGTTTTATGGTCCGTAAAGCTAATATCAGTTGAGTGTGAATGGAAATTCGTAAAAACATAAAACTAAAATTGGAAAGCCAGCAGTCTAATATTGTTCTCAGTTTCTTACTTTTCCCAATGGACGCTCGATTAGAGATTGAGTGTCTGAGAGAAATGGACATGAATGGCATAGAGTGACAGACAGGGCATCAGTGAATATTCACCTTATGAATATTTGACACAGCTGTTGAGAGGCAGCCCTTTTATTCAGGTCCCTTATGAATATTTGACACAGCTGTTGACAGGCAGCCCTTTTATTCACGTCTCTTTCTTTCTTTCTTGTTTTTTATTTATTTATTTTACATTTATGACCACATAAGTCTTTTGATTTTAAATGGTCAAATATCCTCAGACTGTTTTATTGCCACAGACCTGTGGTGAATAGCTGTGTTAAATCAGAATGTGAGCTTCACTGTTTCTCTGTCCACATTCTCACGTCACTGTGCTGTGATGTACATGCCGGTGTCACGTCATACAGCGACTCAGATCGCTGGATTCCAGCCTCCGTCTTTGATTTAAAGCGCTGCTTCTACTTTAGCTGTGTCCACTGCCGCTTCCCATGTCAACTGCCCCCATTTATTACCCTCATAGGAGCTGTTTATGATGTCAACCAGGTCATTACTTATGACAGTGTCTAGTCAGGTTTCCTTTGCCCTACTATAAATGACCTGGGCTAAATCACTAGGCTTCTTATTCTGTGAACAAACCACTCTTTGTATTCCAGTGCTCTCTTATTTGCATCTACTCAGAAAGACTATTTAATTAGCTGGTCTGGTCCTGATGAAAGTGCTTTATGATGGATCAGAGTGACATTTTGCAGCTGCTATCAGTGTAAATATGGCTGGTATAGTATATTTTCTTGTTATTGCCCTCAGTGGTATTCAGAAATGGACGGCTTTTAAATCACATGAACATTGCAATGGTAACGTTATTACAGGAATATTATATACAAACTCTGATTAACTAAAGCTTTTGTGACCTTTCCTTGTCAAACGTAATTTTCTCAATGTTGTCTTTCTAATAATTTTTACTCTAAACAGTTGCATCATTTTACAAAATGCAATTTTAGGTGAAACAAGACAAGGATGTTTTTTTAACCTTCCCATGCAAAGCATATTTTCCAACAAACCAAAAGATTGTGTGTATTGAAAATGTATGAGAAAACAAAAAAACAAAATTCTATTCAAATTAATGCACGTTTTGGTTTAAAAGAGAACTTTTTAGGAAACAATTTTAGTAATTCAGTAGCACTTTTCAGTTCATTTAAATTAACTGTTTAAATATGAAACTATCTGTGTCATGTTTTGAATCAAAACCACTTCTGTCATAACTTAGTTTGATGGCAGATTAGTCAACAACAAAACCAGATCTCTTGCTTCCTTCAAGGTGCTGGCACATGACGCTGCAGAACATCTGTTTGACTCCCTGCTGCCAGACATGGTCCAATTAGCATTGAGAGCATCCGAGCTGTGCACCAAGGTAACAACAGCCTTCACTAACCAATGGACACGACTCACTGGTCTGTGACATAGTAGATCACGGCTGCAGGTTAACTCTGGTGGTCGCCACCTGACAAATAATGTCATGGAATGGTTGTAGAAATGGTGGGGTCAAGGCCCAGAGGTATTGATGGTCATTTGTCACATGTTTTACTGGTTTCTGTACACACTGATGAAAAACCTCGTAAGACAAAGCATCACTCTACAGTGTGTTTTAATTTAATTATAAAATATCATTTAATCATCAGTGTAAATGTGGGTGGTGTAGTATATTTTCTTGTTATTGCCCTAAATGTTATTCAGAAATGGATGTCTTTTAAATCACCAAACATTATAATGGTGATGTTATTATAGAAATATTATATACGAATTCTGATTAACTAAACCTTTCTGACCTTTCCTTGTATCAGGCAATTGTCTTGATATTGTTTTGGTTAAGAGTTGAGCCCAAAATATTTTTTATTAGAAAAGCCTTAGTCTCTACAATATTATTTACCAGGCTTTATTTTCTGTTTCTAATCCCTTAACCTGTGTTGGGCGTATGGATCACTTGTGATCACGAAGGGACCTTGATTATAATGATGACGACTGATTCAAGAAGGGCAGAGTGCTACAAAAACGGGTTCATTTATGCAACGCGCTCATTTGACAAAGAGATGGCGAAATCATTTTGACCTTCCTCAGTTGTGTGTCTGCTCCTCCTCCAGCCGATCCCGCTCTTGAAGAGGGACATGAGTCACTCCATCACAATGTCCCAGGAGCAGGTGGCCTGTCTGCTCACCAACGCTTTCTTCTGCACCTTCCCGAGACGCAGCTCCAGGCGGACCGAGTATAGCAACTACCCAGACATCAACTTTGTCAAGTAATGTAAAAAAATACATTCCCTCTAAAGACACTAATATGACAACTAGCTTCTTTACCAAGAGGGGGTGCTCATGTTTTTTTTTGTCATTGGCACAAGTCATTTTGATAATTTTATGGAAAAACACTGTTAAACACATTATGAGAGAGAAGTTGCCTTGAAAGAACCGACCACACCATCCACTGAATATTTAAGATCCTTTAAAGGTCATTTGCCATTTTCAGCATTTGATCATTATATCAAGTACAGCGTTGAGCGTTTTCTCCAGTTTTTTTAATCGTGGTAACCAGAAGGGTTGTTGTGAAGAAAGTGGTTCTCTCCATACCATCTAATTATAGGATATTTGCTCTTTAAATACTTGATTACGATAAACAAGAACGGGACACATTTTTTCAAAGGTCAAGAGTTTTTGCACTTTAAGAGTGAAATTTTAGATTAATTTGGTTAAATATATATATGCATGCATATATATATAAGCTTTTGCTTTTTTCAAACTTGTCTTTGTGGTAAAAACCCCTGTGTTGTTATCAGTCTCTCTCCCTGTGATTCTTTCTTAGACATGTCCCGCATCTTTGTTGGCATCATAGGGTAATTACCTAAATGGAGGAGGGAATTAGATTAACATTCACTCAGATAGCTGCATTTGACAATGGAGAACCATTATTCAACCGCATCAGCGTTTCTTTGCTGTGATGTCAGAGAAAAGCTGGTGTCACCTTTGTAGCCTGTCAATATTATGTGTTTAGAGTTAGCTATGTGGTGTGAGGTGGATATGTAAAGCGTTAAATCTAAATCCTTTTTATTGGTGCTGTTTTTTTAACCAGTGACCCACAGTGTCGTCTGGAATTCAAATGGGGTTGTCTGAAATGTCTAGTAATTTATAAATTATTAATTTACTGATTAAAAAATAGTTTTCAACTAAATATTCCATTTAAAATCATGATAAAACCAAAACACAATCTTAAACAACTGTATTCTTTCACTTTCATGAATATAAATCAAGTTCAAATGAAATGCAGCATAAAAAAATATCTGAGCTGGCGCACCTTGATTGACGGCTGGAACAAACATGATCAAAAATTAACTCTAGAAGAAAAAAATGTCTGTGGGGTCACCAGACATTTGTGATGTCAAAAAGGGGTCACAAAACAAAAAAACGTTTAGAAAACACTGGTTTAAACTATTAAAAAAATCAATTTGTGGAAAAGGGAATAATATCAAAACAGAATGTTTTTTGGGGTTTTTTCCTTCATCTAATTTCCATTTAGATAAAAAGAGTTGTGTTTTCTTGGGGGGTTTTCAATCTTTGCTCTGTCACTCAATGTTTCATTTAAAGACAGCTCACTTGTTCTCCACACGGTAGTTTCTTTTTGTCTGGGTTGCATCACAGCTTCTTCCTCTTCTTTCTTGTGTTGTAGTGATGTTATATAATATTGTATTTATTCCTTTCCCCTGAGGGCCAATGGGAGATTTTATTACTAAAAGCCCGCTCTCACTAGTGGCTAGCTTATGTCCGACGCAGTCGGCCCTGAGCATTGCGCAATGTGTAATTGTTTCTATGGGCCACGTTGACAACATAGCGAAATGAATGCCAAAGCTGACTGCAATGAATGAGTCATGTGTCCCCGAAGGGCTCTCGGTGCATCAAGCTTTTATCCTTATTTCATTCCACACACATGAAATTACTTACTTGTTATTGTGACTTGTGGCTCTGCCGCAGGGGGAGACGTTGGTCTGAGAGTGCATTCTAAACCCCAACTGCATTTCACCAGCAGCAGCTTTTTGTGCGTGCATTTGTGTATTACTTTTAAAGAGGGACTGACCTTTTCCTCCAAAGGCTTGTGTTGCATTGGACACACAAAGCTTTTAATGTGCCAAAAAGGAGGGAGTTTTGTTTCTTTTTCACTCTTCTCCGCCTTTTTTATATGATAACAGTGATTTAGGACACAAGTGCAACTCTGATGGCTGGCCCCGAGCAACTCCATTGTTGTCGCAGTGACTGAGAGGCTGAGTGAGAGATGGACTGATTCATATTAAGTAATTCAAGTCAAAGTTTTAGCATGGCTGAACTCACGTGGCCTAAGTGGACGTCACGTGTCTCGTCCCGTTCGTGTCTTTACCTTTTCACTAATACAAGTCGTCAGTTTGGGATGCAGCCAATTACAATTTAGTATTTTTTCCTTTCATACTCTTCACTTTTTTTTAGTCTCATTTCAGTGTCTTTGTCTTTAGGCTCTTTGAAGGTTCTGCTTCAAGGAAGATTGAGAAGCTCAAAACCTTGATGTGCTATTTCAAACATGTGACTGAACAAAGTAGGAGTTTACTTTTCAACTCATAATAAATAGTAAAAACATGTACAAAAAAAGAAAAAGGAGTCATTTTCATAAAAGAATGTCTTTGTTTTCAGGGCCTTCTGGTCTGGTCACGTTCACAAGGAAAACATTGGACATACCCATTCATTGGAAAAGGTTCAGTATATTGACACAGCAGTTAAATAAAACATACCAGATGGCTATAGTATATTGAATTATTTGCTATTAGTTCTAATTCAGTCGGTTCTTTAGAAACAATTAGAGATCCATCGTGTTAACCATCAGTAAAAAAAAAAAGACTTTTCTGTTTTTAGATCAAAGACTCTGCTCACAAGACTTCACATTACTTTTGAAGGAACCATTGAGGCTGATGGATATGGAATGCTTCAGGTGAGACATTTGAATGTGTCTATACACTCACTGATCATTGATTTTAAAACATACAGCCTTTCTAAAAAAGTTGAAAAAATGTCGAGTGATGTTTCCAAAATTTAAGTTAAGTTAATTTAGGTTAAGTTAAGGGAGATAACAGTGTTCCATGTAATTTTTACAGCTGTACAATACCCTGCTTTATTTTCTTCACAGATTTATGTCCAAAATTTGTCTTCTACTAAAACCATGTTCTATCTTACGTAGAGCTCAAACAGCCAGAAGTCTTTTATTCAGATTGCTTACTACAGCTATAGAGGCCTTCAAGGGACCCCGTGACACTTTAAAGGGAGTGTGCGCTGGGACTGGGGTCAAGACCTGTGAGCCTCTTCTTCTGAGAGTGTCGGCCGTGCTTCCTGTCCACTGTCAAGATGGCTGGCTTTGTCTTTCACCTTTTGTTTGCCTTCAGTTGCCACAGGATGACAGTTGATGTACACACATGACCAGCTCGAGGGCACACTGTGGCCTGGATTGATGGATCCGCCGCTGGAGGCAGGGAGGGCGGGGTTGCTGACAGCCTGTCAAAGTAGACTTTAGAGGCAGGCTCGCTGTCCCAGTGTTGAGTGACCAGTTTGGAGGCAGAGGGGGTCTACTCTCAGGCTGATGGTCACCCCTTTGCAGCCCTTTCCCAATGTTGCGATGGTGTCGCTGTGTGCTTTTTTTTTACGGGCCAGTGAGCAGTAACTGTCAGTCCTGAAATTGGATTATATATTTATGTTCCACCTGGGTGCCTCCTGACTAAAACAATGAGTTGTTTGCGTCACTTCTCGAAACTGCAGCTACCAGATCCGTATATTCTTTTGAATCATGAACTGGCTAAAATAAACAAGTACATCATTGTCAGGCGAGGACCTACGCAGGAGCCTGGAAGAACACAAGCAGCGAAAAGTATACTAGACATCAGTCAGCAGTCAATTTAGCAGAGTGTTGTGACTAGAAGGTAGTGTTCCTTCACTGTTGTTTTGATATTTGCTTCTGGCAGTGGAGCGCCAAAGTGCTTCTCCTGTGTGGAGCTCATTTTGGTGAAGGGGACAGATGTCGAAGTAATGTCAGAACCTCAGGCAGCCCTTCCAATTCACTTGTCTGACTTTCTGTCACAGGTAAAAAAGTATACTTTTCCTGCCTGTTCAAATGACATCAGTGTACCTGGTGAATAAAAACTTACTGAACACTTATGGCAGGATTGGTCTGGAAATGCTAAATTAAGGAGTCATTGTTGTTTCTCATTCATCTGTGTCGATTTACAGGTAGATTTTGCAAATGCATTTGTGGGAGGAGGAGTCACCAGCTCTGGTCTGGTTCAAGAGGAAATCCGTTTCCTGATCAACCCTGAGCTGATTGTTTCTCGGCTCTTCACAGAGGCCCTGGGCCATCAGGAATGTTTGATTATCACAGGTAAAAAAAACCACACAGTGTAAATTACCGTCAAAACAGAGCCATCCAACATTGTGTGACGCTTGACCTATATGGTAGAAGATGAAACACAGTGAACCTTGAGTGTTTCGCCTCAACACAAAGCATGAAGGAGAAATCAGACAACTTCAATTTACCCCATTCTGTCTAAAAGAATTGCTTTTATTTTGTGCGTTCTTGTTGTGTTTGTCCTTCTCCTAACCAGTGATTGACAGGAGTCACAGAGTGGGCTTCTCTGATTGCTCTGTAGGGTCTTTCTGTTGAGAAATACCTGTAATGTGTACTTCATCCTGATTGGTTGCACCATGATTAGGACAGGCCAAAGATAGTCAGACTCAAGGAGTCCCAGCAGGAGGCTGATGACACTTGTCTGCTTCTGCTTTTAAAATGCACTTCTGTCGGCCTTTACTCTTTTCCTTATCATCCGATTGTTTGAATGCCGTATATTTTGCAAGTTAGGGTCTCTTTTCACATATTTGAACGTCTGAAGTGTCTGCTTCCTTGTTAAATGCCAGTTTTGCATCATCACCATCCCCTGGCTCAAAAACAAATGTTAACCCAAGCGGCTTGAATTACCAACAACAGGATCTAACCAGTTACTGTTGCAGGTCCTCTCCTTTTTGTGGAGTCACCTTGGGATTCCTGGCTAGCCATCTCCCTTGCCTCTACTTACGCCACTTAACGTTATTACAGGGGCCCAGAATTAATTATAGCTGGAAGACCTGGCCAAGACCTGCTCCACTAATGGACCCTTCCATTCCATCATCTTTATTAAACCCTTCCCGTATCCCCTCTTCCCCTTGTAAAAGTCAGAGACTTTGCAGCACCGTAGCCACGTCATGAATTACACTCCGTGATATGTTTTGGCATACAGCAGAGAGGCTAATGGACCGCACTGCTGCACTGAAATTTACTAAAGCATCCCGGTCTAATTGAATTTCCTTTGATTGCGCTGTATCTGGTTTGCAAAAGTATAAATAGAATCCAAGATAAATCATTGTGCATTCTGTTTTTTGCAAAATATATTACTCTTTTCTGCCTCTCCAACCATAATGTGCTACAGGACCATTAGAAATGTGTACAGTAATTCTATTATTTAAAAATGAAGAAGCTTGATTTCACCGATGGAGCAGTGAAACTTTTGCTCAACGTGACAGCAGAAGGTGTTTCTGATCGTTTACACTGTGCGGTCCAGCACAAACACTCGATTTATTGTTATCTTTAACTCTTTGTCACTTAGAAATACTTCCTGCCCGCCTCACGCTTCTTTACCTGGCTTGGATTTATTTGTGTGCGATGAAAGATAATATTTAAATGACAAACGGTTTGCCTAAAAAAGTGAAAGAGTAATTCAGATTGTTGCTGAAGGTTGTTGCTTTCAGATGCAAATATGTTTGGTTACAGAGTTTAATGTTTCTGTAGAAACACTGAAGGTCAGGTGTGTGTATGTGTGCTCAGAGTACGATCATTTGTTATTTATAGTGCTGTGTTTATGTCAAGGCAAACCAAACTTAGTGACATTTTAATTTGTATCAGTACTTTAATGTTTAATATATAAAGTCATTTATATATAAATATGTGGTTCACAGCTGTATTAATATGGAGATGTCGGATGTTGGTTTAATTTCAGTCACATGATCAGGATTATTCACACTTTTACCCCTCTTTTGTCCTGTGACAATGTTAGCTTTGACAAAAACAATTGCCCTGGTACCATATTCACTTATGAACTGAACTCACCTAATGCAGAAGCTCTGATTGCTCCAGAGCCCCAAGCTGTTAAGTAAAAATGTTCATACTTCATAAAGTGCATACATAGTTTTCATAGACAGTTTTAATTTTACTGCACTAATAGGATTTACTCCTGACCAAAGCATGCACACACAGAGAGAACCCCTTGGTTTATTTGCTGTTCCTCATGAAGCGATCCAGCAAGTGCTCTTGACAGTCGGGTACTAATGAGCACTAATGAATGAGAAGTAAATACATGAGTACGTTTGTTTGACTGCCCCGTCACCTCCCCGCCGTCTGCTTCCCTCTTCCTAGTGTTGAGTGCTCCTCCGTGGGCTGACGGTCAGTCGCTGGTTTTCTCATTGTGTAAAAGTGGGGTGTGGGGGTGGTAATGACTTGACCTTCCTCTTATCAACAGACAGCTGCAGCAGAAATACTGCAGAGGAAGAAACAGCAAATTATTACAAATAATGTTTTCTACTAAAATGTAATGTCAATTGTAATGGATGTAGGTGCAGAACATTTAAAAAACATTTAGTTTATGCTGTTAGTGTGACCACATAAATTCAAATGACAGTTTGTTGTAAGTGTATATTAATCTTAGAGCACGGCGCACTCATTGCCACATATTACTTAGCATAATTTTCTACCACAAATTTAGATGCCGATGTTAATGGACTTTGAAGAGCCCTGAGTTTGAATTCCATTTTCTCTCCACCTTTAACACATGATGGACAAAGTACTTTCTTACAGTTCCAGCCATCTACAGAAAAAAAATATTTCATATTCAGGCATGTTGCCTGAATTTTAATCATTTTGTTTCCTTGTTAATATATTTTTTTGCGTGTAACTAATGCTGTTTGTTTTGATCCAGGTACTGAACAGTTCAGCAAATACAAGGGGTACGATGGAACTTTCCAGTGGGGGGGCAGCCACCAAGACACCACACCAAGGTAGGGTGTCTGAAATGTTACCATCGTACCTGTTCAAGGATGGGAATCCCAGCATTTAGTTTCTTACATTTATTTTAAGAATTAACGAGAGTAATTTGTTCCAGGGACGACTGGCAGAGGAGATGCACCGAAATTGTTGCCATCGATGCTCTGCGTTTCAGGAACTTCCTGGAACAGTTTAAACCAGAAAATATCAACAGAGAACTCGACAAGGTTTTTTTTGTCTTTAAATATACTTTTAATACATGTCTTTCATTTCAGGTCTTTTCCACTACTATTTTGCTTTGCAAATATAATTTATGTTTATCCATTTATGTGTGACACAAAATAGATGATTTAATGAGAATTCATTCTGCTAATAATGCAGAATGGATTCATGACAAATTTAGGATGAAACAGACATTGACTGGTGCTCTCTTTTCTCCATTTCAAATATTTGAGTTATAGATACTTGTCTTGTGTTTGAAACAGAGTGATGAATTGTAGCACAGTATCAGAGAATCAGATCCATCTCTTTCATTACGCTGCTCATTAGGCCCAGAATAAATGTAACTTCAAATTATTGACCTCTAAGCAATTAATCATCATTATTACATTTATATAAGAGATATTAAAAAAAAAAAGACTGCCCATAGATACTGCCTTCCTTGTGGGAGATGCTCATTTGTAATAGAAAATCAAGATGTTAATGTTGTCAAGTCTGCCATCAAAAAAACATGGCTGACTTTGACAACTGTGACAGGGATGTGAGGAATGTGCCAACATGAAGATCAATCCTGCTCCCAGTGTTGTTCAGCCAACTGTCATGTCTGCCCTTTTACAGGAAGAATTTATGATTGGTTTGAAGGAGGATGGTCTCATATAATTCATTTACACTATTTACTTCAACTCCGGTGTGAAACCTCATGGCCAATGACAATAAAGTTCCTTTAATCCAAGCGTAGCAGTTAGACAGTATGTTCCACAGCAACACAAACACCTGTTATTTGTTGTATTGTTGATTTATACAAATCTAATGTTAAACTGTTTAAAACAACAACAGTGTGATGATTTTACCCCTGCCTTTTTTATAGCTAATACCTCCTTTTTTGGTATAACTGGCAGCTCTTTATTCCTGAAGTTGCAATACTGCCCCCTACATGATCGATTTGCAATGGTTAATATCGACCTAGAACTGATCACTAGACCTAGAAAGAAAGCAATTACAATTACAATTACCTTATGGGTGAAACTGTCTTTATAATTGTGACCAATCAGGAAATAGTTTGGCACAATTAGGTCAGACGTGTTATCTGTCTTTACATACAGATGTGAAGAGACTTTTTTTCCCCATCAAGCCTTGCTGACTTTTCTCCTACTAACTTACTGCCTTATTATCCTGTGATTATTCAGGCCTACTGTGGATTCGCTCGTCCGGAGGGACAAAACACAAACCTCGCAGCGGTGGCAACAGGAAACTGGGGCTGTGGGGTTTTTGGAGGTGACACCAGACTAAAAGGTATGGACTGATGTAACACTTCATCTGCATCAGCAGGTTTTCTAGAGGAAGAAAAGAAATACTCTGATCTTTTTCTTTTCTTTTTTTCACTTCTTTTTTTTTTTTTTTTTTGCACACTTGGCAGTCACAGCGAACCTTCTTCCTGAGTATAACAGACTATATTTCAGATTGAAAAGCTCCAGCAGATCAGTGTGGGCATCCATTTGTCTTCTGGGAAATGCTTTCTTTTACTTAAAGCCCATTCACTGCCTTCCTTTTATTGATCAAACGACAGAGCTAATATGTTTCATTAATAGGGGAATTGATCGTCTGCTCGGGTCCATCCGTCTGTTGCAGCACAACGTCTGCGCCTTGTGTCACTGTCACCGAGCAGGGAGACTTCATGCTTACAGTTCGCAGCACAGCCTCTGCTTCTCCCCTTCCTCTTGACATATGCATGCATCCCTGTATATTTGTTAATTAGGTGAAGCGCGCTACATTCCTCCATAGGCACAATCACCCACTGTCGCCTTAATGACATGCCTCTGGGGACGTGCTTTCCTGATTCAGATGCTGATCTCTCTCTGGATTTATTTCCTCCAGCCACCACTTATTCTTTAATTGTCATAAACTTTTTGATAAAAGCACTTGCAATGGAATGAGGGGGGTGGGGGGGTGGGGGGTTGCTGACATATTCAGCTTAGCCTTCTTCTGAAAATGTTGATTCAGTTTTGCTCATTAACTTGCCTCCATCCAAACCTTCATTAATCAGCAGACTTATCTCCAGTCTCTTAAAATATTCACAGCTCTCTGGGGCCAGACCTGGCTTCTCTCTGTAAATAATCCAAGGTTCTCAGTAGGAGAGAGGCCCAGTCCCCCAATTATTTACCTTTTAGTCGACGAGCTACGCAGACACAGACCACAGTGTAATTACAACTAACCGTTTTCCTGAAGAGATGATTCACAGAACAAAACTGGAGAAAGGAAACCACATTTCCGAGCGGTGACATAAATACAAAAGTTCTACAGTGTTGAGGTCTAACACAGGTTTCTCCTCCCACAGCTCTGATTCAGATGCTGGCAGCTGCCGAGGCGGGACGCGACGTGGCCTACTTCACCTTTGGTGACAAGAAACTCATGACAGATGTTCACAACATGCACTCGTTTCTCACTCAGAGGAATATCTGTGTTGGTGAGAAAGTAACCATCCTGCTTGTTTTCTGTTAATCCACAGATGTGTTTACACCAGTGATCCATTGATAATAATTCAGTATACTAATTCATCCTGATAATCTCTTGATGATAGAAAACAAAGTCTTGACATGAGAATTAATTCTGATAAATATTGATTATATAAAGTCTGAATATTTCCTAAACCTTTAGAGGAATTTTTATTATTTGTAGTAAAATAGCAAATCATGAAAAACTCTTTTAAGTTAGACTGAAAATCTGCTTTATGATAACTTCATCTCTGCATTATGGAGATTTGCTATGATGGCAAATTACCATTGCCTGAAGAGCTTTTACAAAGCTTTTCTCCCTGGTACTATTTGGGAGTTTCGTGCCCACATATGTTCACACTGTATAACTGCTAAATGCTTTTTCAGGTCCAGAGGTTTTCATAATCTTTGGTTGTAGATTAAATTAAATGAAAATGTCACTCCTGTAATTTAGATCCTTGTCGTCACTACCAGGCCCAGATTTTAAATCTCAGGCCTTATCTATTGGGATAACAACTGTATCCCTTCACTGTTGAGGTCATATCCAGAACACAGTCTTTTTCTTCATCACAGGGGAAGTGTGCAGTCTCCTGGAGGAGTACTTCACATCTGTGTGCAAGAGATGTGTGAGCCGACAGCCTGACGTCAGCCTGTACTCCTTCATCTACCAACAGGTCGACCCCTCCCTGGCATCTTATGACTTCAACACGCACTCAGCCAGACAACGTGTACCCAAGGATAGCTGTTAAGGTCAGGCGGCTGACGAGTCGCCGCCAGCCATCAACATTTTTCGAAATAAAAAATTTTCATTTGGCTTTTAGCTGTATATCAAACGTCAAAACTGCAACAGAAATTAGAAACACTTAAAGTGGCAAAAATAAAAAATCTGGTAAATGGACTCTTTCCAAAAAGAGACGTTGATTAGCTTTGACCCTGTTGTCGCCCCAGTCCAAGCTGCGTTCACTTTCCAGCCGCTGGTAATAAACCAATGGATTGAGCATCAACGCAACGCGATCGTGATTTTAATGGCAAAGCAAAGGTTGACATCCATCTTCAGAGTGTGTCACATTGGCGTTTTTTTTTTTTTCCTTTTTACACCCACACATACATATCCAGCCTAATTGAATTGGCTGTCAGGAAATCGAGTTAGAGGAAAAGAATAACAATAGCACGGTCTGGAAATCTGGGAGCAGACTCCAGAGAGAAGCTCAGATGATGAGGAAGGGGAGTAAAATTCTTTATTTCAAAAGTGTATAATTTAGTGCGGTTTGTCTCTTCTTTTGTAAAATTAAATGGCGATTACACTTAAAAAAAAAATAACCTTAATAAAAATCGAATGGCTTCAAGTTTAACTTCTATTTTGATTTTGTGTTTTATTCTAGAGCGTGATCTGATCAAGTTTAACTTCTATTTTGATTTTGTATTTTATTCTAGAGCGTGATCTGATCTGGTCCTGATCTGATATTGTCATGTTTTAAACCGGTGATAACCCAAATGCAGGCTCAGACGACGTCAAGAGAAAAACAAGGATTTATTTTCCAATTTAACTTCAACAGGAATCACAAGGAACAATAGTTCAAGTCAATCTGGACGTTAGCTACCACGGTGGCTGAACAAACGATCTGACGACCAGTGG